AGATGGCAGTAGCAGTTTTAAACGTAAGGCTAAGTGAAGTTCTGCAAAGAAGCTTACCCAATTTCTTCTGCGAAGTGAATTTTTATACTGATTCCATGATAGTGTTGTATTACATTAAAAATACAGGAAACCGATATAGTACTTATATAGCTAATCGTCTCGCTATCTTACACCAGTACACCAAGGTTGAGCAATGGACTTATGTCAAATTGTTGCAGAACCCAGCGGATTGGACTTTAAGAGGTATACAAAAATTGGCCGATCTTGAGTCGTGGATTAAATGCCCTACTTTACTGCAAGCCGAGTTCGGTAGAACTATTACCGATTGTCCACAAACTATTCCTGACAATATTGAGCTCAGAAAAACTGCTGTGGTTAATTTGAGTAGGGTGAATTATGACAAGTTCCCTATTATTTCTTATTACTCAGACTGGTTAAGATTAGTCAGGGCAGTAGCCTGGTTAAGAAGGTTCATAGAATATTGGATGATACTTCGTTCATCGAGTCGCGAAGGATCCGTTCATTTAGGATGCCTGAAGGTCGAAGAGCTCGAAAGTGCCAAGCGTAAGGTCTTAATGATAGTCCAGAAAGAGGTCTATGGAAGATTACTCAGTGAATTTAAGAACAACAGTAAAGTAAATAGTCATAATGATCTGAAGCGTTTATCGCCTATAATGCTCGATGGGTTACTATGTGTTGAAGGTCGTCTAAACTACTCCGATTATCCTAATGACTTCAAGCATCCAGTAATTTTACCTAGTCGTCACTTAGTGACAGAAATGATAATCAGACATTATCATAAAAAGGAGGGACACTCAGGGACTTCTCAAGTACTTGCCGCAATTCGAAAATACTATTGGATAGTGAAAGAGACCAGCACGATCAGGAGGGTGATAGGTAAGTGTGTAATCTGTCGACGGTATATGACGAACTCAGGACAACAATTGGTGGCGCCGCTCCCTGCATGTAGAGTGAAACCAGGCTGGCATAGTTTCGCAACTGTAGGAGTGGATTACTTCGGACCTATTTTAGTCAAAAAAGGGAAGGTCACTCGAGAAGAGGTATGGGTATATATTTACTTGTTTGCAAACACGTGCAGTGCATATTGAAATGGCTTATAGTTTGAATACTGATTCATTTGCGATGGCCCTGTTACGTTTTATTGGAAGAAGAGGGAAACCCTCAGAGATTTATAGTGATAGCGGGTCGAACTTCGTGGGTGCAATATCTGAACTAAGGAGATATGTTCAACAGTGGGACCAACAAAAGATAAGTAATGAATTGTCAGTGAAACAGATTCAGTGGCATTTTAACCCTCCGTCATCCAGCCACAAAGGAGGGGTGTGGGAAAGAATGATAAGGTCTATACGTAGACTATTATTATTGATCACCAGAGAACAAACGTTGAATGATGAAACTTTAGGCACCTATTTGGTTGAAATTGAAAGGATATTGAACGATCGACCATTAACCCCGATTGTACAGGATGCTAACGACAAACTAGCATTATCACTGAACAGTTTGCTTTTGTTGAGGGAATGCGACAGTATAGTTGACGAAAGTAGCATCACAGTTAATTATGATAAACGTTGGAAACAGGTGAATCATCTAGCTAATGTGTTTTGGAAAAGGTGGCTGCGGGAGTACTTACCATCCTTACAAACTCGTCAAAAATGGTTGGTTGAGCGTCGCAATTTCCAGCCAGGAGATGTAGTAATTGTAGCTTCAGATATTTCCACCCGTGGAAAGTGACCTTTAGGAGTAGTTGAAAGCTGTGAAACAGACGACGACGGAAAGGTGAGGAAAGTGACAGTTCGTACTAATAACGGATCTGTTAGGAGGGATATACGTAAGGTATGTCTCCTTGAAGGTTCCAATTAGTTACTTGTTATAACAATGTGGGCAGGACAGGTAGGCGTGCTGTTGTAAGTCCTATCTGTTCTTTTATCGTGAGAGCCAAGAACTGTGTACACTCGTAAACTGTATGATCCCCAGTGCATATACTGCACTTAACTCTTGCGATCGGTGCATACCTCGGTCTCACTACCGAATGGTAACATGACTTCGTGATAACTCTCTGTTTTGGACGTTCAGCCAATCGTCCAAACCTACTAGCAGCCACTCTAGGTTTAGCTGCCACAATCTGGGTAAGTTTGTCGGCTGTTGGCTCTCTGTCATTTTTCATCAATCTATCTACCATTTCGGCCCATCGCCTTTTCATATGTTGAGGCAGAAATGTTACTACTCTCTCTAATGTAACCAACGAATTTAATTCGGCAGTGTAGTTCATTTGCTCTAACAGCATGCTACAATGCTCCATTCTTATGGCTAAACTTGAGAGTTCTGCGTCATGACAACCGTGGTTTACATCATTGAACAAATCCTTCAACGTTTCTCTTGTTTTTACATGAGCCTGACCGAACAACCGTTTCAAAATTTCTCTAGCTCTCTTATACCCAGCCGTATCCTCCATCATTACACATCCTTCAATGGCTGCCTTCGCCTTACCCTTACAATAATAGAGCAAATATAGTAAACGTGTATTATCCTCAGATACTCTAGCCGAAATGTACGTATTGAATTGCTTTATAAACTTCCAATACTCCTTCGGTTTTCCATCAAAATAACACAATTCAACTCTCGGTTGCTCTAGCCCAACTATAGGAACCTTAGGTATTGTGCCCGGCCATGCATGCCCAAGTCTTTCCCTTTTTATCTAAACTAAGATTCGCTATCTTATCTAACATTACTTCACTATCACTATAGTCTTCCTTAAGTGCATCAGAACCATGAGGCGTAAAGGCATCAGAAAAAACTTGCTTCGTACCAAAGGATTTGTCGTTAAACTTGTCTTCATCCTTACCGACCAGCTTAGGCATTGACTTCTTTGCACGGTTGTTGGGCATCTCGGATTATCGACCAATTTTCGAGCAGCTTGCCGACCAATATTTGTTTAGAACTGTAAGATCCAAACCTAGTTTCCAACTAGATTTGATTTGTTGAATGACTGACGAGTAAAATTAGAGACGCGCACCCCCAATCGAAATCAGAATAAGGTGTTTTGGGGGTAATAACGGTTCTAAATTTCATCATATATACAAATGTACAAATTTACCTAAACAAGTATTACCACCCAGTTATTCAACCAACAATTGATACCAAAATATTCAATCTAAATTACAATGAATAGTAAAGTGGTAAGAAATATATGAAAATTACCGAAAACACCAAAAGGTGAATGTTATTCTATCCTTTCTGGATAGATCAAGTAAGATTCCGTTTGAGTGGCTGTTTTATAACACAAAGTGTTCCAAATTACAACCGAAAATGCACGATCCCAGTCAAAATCAAAGAGCGAACAGTCAATATGGCAGCCGCCAGAATAATAACAATTAAAACAAACTAAATACAGTTCAGTAAGGAACATAGAGACTCAATAAAAACGATAAGAAAACCAAGAAAATTAAACGTTACAGGCTTAATTAGCATCGAAAAAGTCAACAATATATACAAATAAAGAAACCACAAGGAAGAAATCACAAATGTATGCATGGAGGGATTTTCACTTTCAAAATGGATCTAATACCATGGTAGCCGGTTACCAACGACTGGTTCATACGCCATTTGTTCCATCAGGATTCTGGAGCCTATGTGCACCATTGGTTTGGAATCAGGGTTTTCCAACTTCCCTAGGTGGACTTTCCGTGCCCTCCAACCTGGTCAAAGCACCGGACATTCACTTTTCGTCTTCTCAATTTCGTCAACAACACCTGTGGCTTGAGAAAGCAGTGAGTAGGACTTCTGTTGAAGAGGCTATATACACGAGGCCATATGAGAGCATTTGGAGAGGGAGAGCGTACTCTCCCCACTCTCGGCCCTAGCAGGGCATTTGGGGCACTTTTACGTATGGTCTAGTTGAAGAATACCTCTTGTCTCTTATGAGTAGTAGCTTATTACAATTAATCCTGTTATTAATCAAATTAATTCAGTAGTTTAAGTAAATGGTTTTCAGCTGTCCTACTGACGTCATTATGGGCAGATGATCAGTATCAGCAACGTACACAGAAAGTGTAGCTGAAAGCGAAGTAGATGAACGTGTACTTGGTAAATAAGATTTTAGTCTACCTACTACTTTAGCGGAACTACTATTGGCAAGTGTTGAAATCTCATTTTAAACAATCTTGTTGAAAAGTACAAAACAGATGACCTTATCAAAACTAAAGTATATGAGGAGTGTTACTGGGTGTCGATATCGATTTTAAGACGTTGAATTCCCCATAATCCAGTTACGTGTTGATGATGTATAGTACATGGTTTGCTGTTGGTACAATAACATTCTGTAACTTATTTTGGTCAAACAACTTGCTGTAGGTATTCAAAAATATTTGCTGTGTTTTGAGATAGAGTTATTTTGATAAGCATACTTTGTTTGATTTACCAAGTTAGTTACACTATTCGAGAATATGCCTTTTAGATGAGAAGTTCTATACAACAAATGTATATTATCAGAAGGGGTTTTGTGGAGATTTAGTATTTTTCATAGTTGAAAGCGAGAGTCAATTGAAGCTAGACCACCATGGGAAACCTGGAAACACTGGACGGCCGTTTCGTCCTATTATGGGACTCCTCAGCAGTGCGCATCCACGAACACGCTCTCGTGAGATTCGAATCCAGGACCTACCAGTCTCGAGCTGAAGCCCTTAACCGATAGGCCACTGAGTCGGCCGGGATCCAACGGTGTTAATGTCTAACTTCAACTGATCCACGAAGTTGGTTGCTCAACTGCTGAGGAGTCCCATAATAGGACGAAACGGCCGTCCAGTGTTTCCAGGTTTCCCATGGTGGTCTAGCTTCAATTGACTCTCGCTTTCAACTATGAGAAATGTATATTACTTCACTGAGACAAGTATGGTCGTAGATTATCTCCTGTTATCATTTTTGTTTACCTTTATTCATCCATTATCCTTTTCCATCTAAAATCTCTTTTATTTTCTTACTAGAAACTTTAATCAAATGTTGTGACCTATCTCAACTATGGTATCGTGAATTCTTCTTAGAAATGACTAATGGTGCTTGTATACAATTTCCAATTGAAATGAGTTTACCATGGATATTCACTGATCATATTCTAGAAAGTGAACATCCTGGTTATATGGAATATCTATTCTATATGCTTGATCTTTACAATGATGCCGCTGATTGTGCGTTAAATCGATTTCGACGACGATTTCTGTATGAAGAAATCGAGGCTGAAGCGAATTTAGTCTTTGATCAACTTGTTTATAAACTAAGTGATAAAATATTTCGACACTATAAGCGTTATGCATCATCAATTTTATTGGATAAACGATTTCGAGCTGAAGCCCAACGTACCGCATCATGGCGTGAACCTTATCCACCACCTAATCGTTATACTGCAGCTTTACTTCAACAAAGAAATATTCAATTGCTTGGTCGTTCTATTGATATAAACCGATTGATTTGTCAGAGGATGACCACGGCAATATACAAATCAATTGAAGTTGCTATTTCACGTTTTCATAGTTCAGATATAACAGGAATAATTGTAAGTTTGACGTTTATTATTATCATCATTATGATTACTTTTCATGATACAGTACGATTAATTAGAGACAGTTGATCATGAGCTGACATCGTTTAGAGCAAAATAACCTAACTTAAAAAATTCTTACTCCTTACGATTGACAACCGACTATCGACCAAACCCATTTATCAAATAAAAAAGTCGTATACAGATCAGCAAGTTTGTTTGAAACCAAAAACATAATACTCTAATATTCTAAAAAATCAGGAATCAATCTAATCGGACTATACGTATTATCACTGATAACTCATCATTTATCAGGTTCGAATTCATATACTTGACTTTGAGTCACATTTTATACGTATAAGCTAGTGATGCTACCTCGGTTGCCCAGACCAAAGCCGGTGGAGCAAAGTTTGAACCTGGGACCTTAGCATTCGAAGGTCGAACGCCTAAATCATTAAGCAATGGCTTTTTCGTATCATTAAAAGAGAATAATGGATCTTTGATATGATTTATTTACAGGAAGTAAGGAATTAGTTTTCATAGTTTTATTGCAAATAAGTAAAACAATCTAATTCGTCTCATTGCACATATCCATCCAATATATATTATTTAATAAAAACAAATTTCACAACCTCATAAACTACAACGTGTATCTGAAACGAGAAACTTGGAGTACTACTACATCCATCGTCAAGAAAGTACAAGTATTTATAAACAGTTGTCTTCGCAAAATACTCAACATCCATTGGCCGGATACCATCAGTAACAGCGGTTTATGGGAGAGGACAAACCAGCTTCCAACTGAAGAGGAAATTAGGAAAAGACGTTGGAAGTGGATGGGACATACATTAAGGAAATCATCAATGTGCATTACAAGGCAATCCCTAACTTTGAATGGTGAATGGAAGCGGAAAAGAGGAAGGCCAAAGAACACATTACTCTGGGAAATAGAAGCAGATATGAAAAGGATGAATGTTAACTGGAAAGGAAGGCTCAGGATAGACTTGGATGGAGAATGCTGTTGAGCGGCCTATGCTCCTCCGCGAGGGTTAACAGGCATGTATCTGAAACGAGACTAACCATGCCCGAACGCTTGTGGTATACTTTAAAATGGACATTTTGGAATGGTTATAGATGTTAGCTTTCTATGCACTAAGATTAAAATACCTATCCGATTAGTGATTCAGAGTTAAAGAAAGAAATTAATGATTCATAATTCTCATCGATGTAGTGATTATATAAAGATTTAATTGCATCAGTTACATCAGACTCTCATTTATTCTAACTATTCTAACTACCTCATTCATCTTGTTGTGCTAACGAGATATGACAACTTGGACCAATGCATAAATGTGCCTGGTACTACGCTGTAGCTGGCTAACTTATTCTAACTTACATTAAATTAAAAATTCTACTTTTAGACTAGCTGTTCTATTTCATAATCCATTCTACATAAAGTGTAGTTTAAAAACAGAATAATAAATTTGACATAATTCTGAAAATATACTTAGTATGTATACACACATAATATTTGTATATGTATCCATTGTTTCCAATTAATTGACTATGAATTACTTGGTTAATTACAGTCAATTGTTTATACGGTTTAATAGATGGATATTTTGAATACAATTTCCAATAATTATTTATATGATGATGGATTCATTTATTTTTTTTAAAAAAGTTTTGTCCAATATTAGCCAATTTGTCGTCGATTGATATATTTTGGTAGTATTCAGTGATGATGATGATGATGATGATGATGATGATGAATCACATTGTCCAAAATAGTAGATTTCATCCTCGATCTTTATGGATCTCTATCTCAATAATTGAAATACTTGATTTACAATCAATAAGTTTGATTGTAAGCAAAGATAGATAGTGGCTAGCAGTAGAATCCAGTTTGACACGCTCCACTTCGTCCTATTTGGGACTCGTCAGCTGGATTTACCTGCATCTCAGACTTGTTGATGTTCACTCTGGGACTCGAACCCAGTACCTTTCGCTTCAAACGCCACTGTGTTATCCACTTGGCGACTGATTTATGAATTTAGGCTATATCGAGGCAATACGTACAGTATGCACATATGCTAATTAGAGACTGACCAGTTGCAGTCCTAAACATCAATAGGAAGATTCAAAGAAACAATACCAAGTGAATAAGTTTCATGTTTTTAAGGTTATTCTGCCTTCTTCTGTTTGGTCAGTTGAGGAGTATTACTAAATTTCACACCAACATTCCTCTTCAATGGTATACACACAACTGTATTTGATAAACGAGTTACAATACTTAATTCTTATATTCTTTCTTTGCCACTAATATACATTGCAGATATAGTGTAGTGTTGTTTCTGTGGTGTACATGTGGTTTTTGGATGCTTTTTTGATATACAATGGTCACCGTTTTTAACTGGTATTTCTTCTTATTCCCTATTTTATTATAAACAAGTGTAGTTTTAAACAAATAGTATACAATGTCAGTAATTCCTAGTGTGATGTGGTCTACTTATATCCATATAAGTAGTATGTAGTGATGGTTAGACATAGAATGTATTTCGGCAGAAGATCGATAAAAAAAGAACAGGAATGAAGCTCTATTGGTAGGAAAATCCATGAACAATGAAATCAGAGAAGACAGACTGATATTTGCAGGAGAAACAGTTAAGATTGAGACAATTGATTGTTATTTTGCAAATTAACTGTTTGCTGTATGGTTATCAGAATTAAGTGAGATAGTCTGTAATTTGTGCCTAAGTACATTTGATTGTCCCCACCCGTGTTCAGTTCAATACACTAGAACATTGGAAACGCATTGATTATAGTCTACTATAAATCATTATATGAATGTACTGAGTTCAGTATTGACTTCCCTTTTTTTATATTATACAATTTGTAATGATGTTTCGAATCTTTATTACCGCTATTATGAGCAGTGGATCTGCTCATTTGAGACTGAGCAAATAATGTACGCCGTTCATTAAGTTTTGTCGATGTTCAAAGTTACCATTTTCATTCAAACACCAATATTGTTTCAGTTACGTTAATGAATGATGACTACAGTGTGGCTGATCCAAGAAATTATTTTAATGAAGTCAATAATTAATCAAGTGCAGTTTCATGTTAGATTTTTTTTACATAAACGTTGATGACATTACTCAACTGTCCTGACCAAAGTGTGTAGAGTGGGTTTTAAACTTAGCGTCACCATCTTAAAACACCGACTTCGGTGGCTTGGATATGTTTTATGAATGTCGTCCCAGAGAATTCCCCGTTGTGCATTATTTGCCGACGCTGGAACTGGTTGAAAAAAGCGAAGAGATGGTCAGTGTATAACATAGTGTCGTGGTATGAAAGTAAGCTGCAAAGGGCTGGCTTCTATTGGTCCTTCACGACTCCCTGGCTGAGGTCCAAGAGTCAAACACTTTATTAATCACTGAACTATCAATTGAAAAGATCTACATTCATTTTGTTCATTTAAACGAAGTCTTACTCGAGGTCCTAGATTAACTTTTATCTTTCTCAATTCATTGTTATTAAGAAATGAAATCAGCGATCATTAGGTGGATATCATACAAATTTCTTGGACAAGCGAATTTTCATTTTGATACTTTCTTCACTTAGTTCAGTTTGTTTCATTTTTCTAATAATTAATGGTGCGGCTAAATTAAGTTTCATGCACACTTTTACTTCATGCATTGCATAAATATATTTTTCTAGCATAAAGTATCTGTCGGTTGATGAAGGAGTAGATTGGAGAAAAGTAATGATGATCAAACTGGAAGTAAACATTGGTTTACTAATTCATTGATAATTCGTTTGACTTATGTTGGTAAGCGTGCGGTAAACTTCATTAAGATCCTCGCCATTATTATTATCATTGGTTGGAGATGTTGATTAACTTGATTCAAAATCAATCATAATAGCTCAGACCCATTTACTCTTTTTGTTCCTTTAGATTTGGAGTTTCAGAATTTTTTCGTAACCTTTATTCTGCGAATTCGTTCTTCTTGAATCATATTGTACACACTTAGTGCTTCCTACTGTCACTGATTCTTCTGCTACTTAGGTATTCATTCTACGAATTTTATCTCTCTGTAGTTTAGCAACTTGAATCGATGCACATATATGCTAGATCCTACGTTGCTTATGACTGACTGACGTTTGTAATACTGCAGTACAAACCTACTTTTGATCAGTCAGCTGGATAGAATCTAGTAACCATCAATATCTAAGTTGTGATTTAAACTAGAGTAGCTGAAAATGTAATCAGTCATTGAATCACATTATTGCATGTAATAGTAAATAGTTCATATTCACCTAAATTGTATGAATTACAATTATCTCAAATATCTATTTATTTATTTATTTAAACACATACATATTGGTACAAAAGGGCACCAGATACATATGTGCCACACAAAATAATGAGAATGGTATTAGAAAGGGGGAAGATGCGCATATATAAAGGAAGAAAAAAGGATGGAAAAAAGGAAAAGAGTAATGATGGGGGGAACTGAAATGTACAACCAGAAAACTCTCTCAGTTAAGAAAGTTATAACCACTCTTTATGAAAAAAGTAAAAGAAGGTTACAGCAGGCTCGCCACTGGCTTCTATTCTGAGCCATATCTGATAACGTCTCTAGCCACTGTGTTGCACCATCTCTCGGATCCCGGTCAGGGAGTAGTGAAGGACCAACAGAAGCTAGCCCTTTGCAGCTTTCTTTCATACCACGACACCATGTCATACACTGACCTCCTCTCCGCTTTTTCCAACCAGTCCCAGGGTCGGCAAATAATGCACGACGTGGAAGTCTCTGGGACGACATTCGTAAAACATGTCCAAGCCACCGAAGTCGGTGTTTCAAGATGGTGACACCAATTGTATTATCGTCTCTGCGCCCGAACACACGATGCCGAACCTCTGCATTACCAACATGGTGTTGCCACTGGATGTCAGCAATCCTTCGGAGACAACGATGATCGAACACAGAGAGACGTCTAACATCCTCGACTCGGAGAGGCCAGGGTTCACAAGCATAGAGCAAAACTACTCTCACCGACGCGTTGTAGATCCGATCTTTTACAGCCACACTAACATCATGAAGGCGCCAAAGATGGCCCAGATTGGCATAAGCCGCTCTGGCTTTCCTTGTACGTGCATCAATCTCATCACTCACGCCACCATCAGCACTTATGTAGCTACCTAGATACATGAACTTCTCAACTACTTCAATCTGCTCACCATCCAGAGTGAGTATAGGATTAGAATCCTGCCAGTCTTGTAGGAGTATTTTGCACTTGGTGGGTGTAAAGCACATGCCGTACCTGCGGACACTGATTGCCAACTAATTAAGTGCGGATTGCCTTGGGCATTATCGCACAGTAAGACAATATCATCCGCAAACTCAAGGTCGAGAAGTCTTTCTACAGACAACAGATCCACACCGTGATTACTTACATCCATCAGAGCTGTTTCCAGAATTTCGTCTCACATATTATATTTGTATATTTTATAATTTTAAATAGATGTTCTATTTTGTTGTTGTATGTATACATATATGGGTATACTTTATATTTCATAGGAATTAGAAGCAGCTATTGAATGTAATCGACTATGTCATAGAATGTTAAGTGAACAATTGGAATTAGATGATTTCGATGCATTATTACGTGAAGCAGATAATTTGGTAACTTCTAGATTAGGAAAAATTACTGTTCATGTATTTTGGGAATTAACATATGATCTTGTTAAAAATTATTGTTACAATGATGCTACTAACAGGTTAGAATAGAGTTTGTTCTTTTTGTTTTTTCTTCTTTAAATTTATATGCTATGATTTTAAATTACGTATTTTATTTTGTGATTGTCATGAGTGATAATCTTCGGCCATGACGACTGTGATGTTCTGGTGACGAAATTAAGGGAAGCGATTTTTTGAAGGATCACTAAAGAAAACCACCTGCTTCAGTTTGCGCAGCTGTGTAGTATCACAGCCCTCACACAAATCTCATTTGATTTGTGTGGCGGATATGTATCTGGTACCCGTTTGTACCAATATTTATGTGTTTAAATAAAACAAAATAAAAACAAATTGAAACAGTTTTCTCGAACACTAACAATGTCCAGGATAACTTAGCAAAATTATTGAGTCGCTTAGCGTCAACAATCAAATAGTAACAAATTAAGCTAAGGAAAATGAATTGAAGCAGATAAAGAGCTAAATTGTCAATTACTTTAGTTTACTGAGCAAACTATTAGTTGATAGGTTAAAGTATAGCAATAGTAAAGTCATGACAAAATAAACATTTGAATACATAAAGTCGCTTTAATAAACCATGTGCAGTAAACGAATGCAGCGTTTCTACAATTGAAGAACAAATGGAGCTCAAAACAACCATCAACTAACTTCAAAGTGAGAATCTTCAATACGAACGTCAAGACAGTCCTACTGTACGGAGCTGAAACGTGGAGATCCACTATATCTATCGTCAAGAAGGTACAAGTGTTTATAAACAGTTGTCTTCGCAAAATACTCAACATCCATTGGCCGGATACTATCAGCAACAGCGTTTTATGGGATAGGACAAATCAACTTCCAACTGAAGAGGAAATTAGGAAAAGACGTTTGAAGTGGATGGGACATACATTAAGTAAATCACCAAACTGCATCACGAGGCAAACGCTAACTTGGAATCCGGAAGGGAAACGGAAAAAAGGAAGGCCAAAGAACACATCACGTTGGGAAATAGAAGCAAATATGAAAAGGATGAATTTTAACTGGAAAGAACTGGAAAGGATTGCTCAGGACAGAGTTGGATGGAGAATGCTGGTGAGCGGCCTATGCTCCTCGACGAGGGGTAATAGGGGTAAGTAAGTAAACGAATGCATAGATCATTCAGTCAAGTAGTTAACTCTGGACGTTTTATGTAAGTAACCACAAAATCCTAAATCAATTAAAAGACAAGTATAAAACACATATTAACCAGTATATATATGTATATGTTTTTCACTCTCACTTATTCTATACATAATATACCTAAAAACCAAACCATTATTTAAAACTTTCAAATCTGTAAATAGGTTTGTACCAACAAACTTCACATTAACTGAAGTGTTAGAACGTGAGAAACCGCCAACAGTAGAGGCTCAATACGTTTGGGGCAGTCGTTCATTAAATACATGCTTTGAAACTATATTTAAATTATATCGTGGTTTTGTTGGTGCACCTCATTTTTCTGCTATTTGTCGTTTATTGGGTTATCGAGGTCTATTTGTTGTTACAGCAGAAGTAATGAAAGTTGCTCAATCATTGGTATGTTTGATTTTGTTTGACTGAATTCCATATTTTCAATATTGATTTCTTTTTCTGTATTACTTGAATGGCTTATAAAGTTACTATATCCTTTATACGTCTTCGGAATATTCATGTGCCACGTGACTGACTGTGAAAAATAACATCATCCTCATTTTTGTATAACACTTTTGTTTCATAATGAAATTAGTCGTTTATCTTGCGCTGACTCGCTGACTATTTGCTTCCATTTGTTATACACCTGTAGTTTGTTGACTGTTAGCATGAATGAATAGATGATATACCGGAAACCGAGCTCATGATGTTAGCCGTCAATTAAGATGATATCAAAATCAAGACAGATGTTTGAGAGCATAAAGATCTAATGAAATAACATACCTGTAAACAAAATATGAGTGTTCAACTTAGTTCTTTCGCTATCATATTACTGTTATTAATTTGAATTCTGATGATACGAATAGTCTGCGCAAACAATCTACTTGTTGTTCAAAAGGATCCATTTTTGGTACCGATTTACAGTGCCTTTCTCGTAAGGTCGTTAGTGTTGTATCATTGGTGTCTTCAGAGCATTGTTTGTGTTTATTGAAACAATTGGGTGAGGATTTCTGGTACTATAAATGAAGTAAATTGACGAAGTTGGTTGATTGACTCATGAGGCTGTAAAACTTTATTGATAAAAATGACTAAAGGATCTATTTAGTAGTGCTGCATGCTTGTTTTAATGATAGTTTATGAGTAGATTAAAAACCCTCAGATCAAGATGCAAAATCATTTCATAAAGTTAATCAATGCTAGTTTGAGTTGTGTTTGGAGATGTGAAATTCTTGGTTGGAGTCTACAGAAGTACAGATGTATTCTTTGTGCCCCTCCTCAACGCTTACGAAATGTATTATTATTGAATAAAAATCCTTTTTTAGGTTTATATAATTATTTGTCATGAATTTCGGTAACAGAGATTCCCATTAAAATTTTCGATGGACAAAGATAATATTCAGACCACAAAATATAGGTGTATTCAGATGTTAGTGAATATTCATGTGTTACAGGATCAGAATTTATCGAATAGTGAACATTTGATTGATACATACACGGCCATGTCCAAAACGCAACTCGTTTTCTCAAATCCGCTGTTCGCCAGCTCCAATTAATTTCGCAATGATTATTGAATGTAAGATTTTTGAAATCAGATCAGTCAAACTAGTTCTCCGGTTACTACAAAATAATAAACGCCATTTTATGTATAGTCCATCAATCAGTCATACCTCATTACATACAGTATCATGTCTTTGCTGTCGGCTAGTCCCCTAATTACGTAATGGTTTGTTTTCTCATATTTATCATTGGAAGTTATTCCGATTTATATCACATTTCTTACAATGTTTTTATCCTATTAGCTAAATCAAACATTACGCGATTATGTTTGCCGATTGGTACTCCTTATGCCTAAATCATTGACACTTCCATCAGACAAAGCAGAATCTGATGCTGTATTCTCAGCTTTATACACTCAATTGCAACAAATCTATAAATATACAGATTTAAGAACTAATGTATTTCAAAATTTTCGTGAATTCGGAAATATTCTTATCTGTTGCTTGCAGTTAGAAAAGAATTTAGTAAGTTTATTCCAAATAACTTGTGTGAATTTTTTAAAGAAATGAAAATAAGCTTTACTACTGTGAAATCATACAGATAATGGTTTCTATTATTTCCCGTTAGAGTATCCTGAAGGAACAAATGGCATATGAACCAGTTGTTGGTCACCGGCTACCATAGGACTGCATCTCCTCACGATGCTCCACTGCCTTGTGGGTTAGACCCTTTAGGTCGAAAGCTCCAGGTGTGACCCCCTAAGAAAACCACCTGCTTCAGTTTGGGCACCCGGGCAGTATTTCAGCTCTCACACAAATAAATGAAATGATGACTTGTACTGACAATCCTATTTACGCACTTACTATATGCCAGACAATTTGCATTATTATTAATAATATATTTATCAAGCAAAACGGTCTAGCTACACAGTGAATTGAATAATTTTTTTACTAATGATAACTAAAATTAAAGTCAACTATATAAGGAGGGATTTGACTGAGTACTAAAACAGTGGCTCAGCAGTTAAGGTGTTAGGCTTTTAGCTACTAAATTAGTAGTTCGAACCCCGTCACACCTTCGATTTGGGCAACTGATAGTGTAATTAGCTCTCATACTTAGAGTGTGGTTCTAAGTCAATTATGCAAATTTAAAGCTGGTAAATGAGTTATTACTGATAATAGGTGTAGTTTGAATTGGTTCCTGGTATCATAGAATATTAGAGGACTATGTTTTTTTGTTTTTTTAAGTGAATGCCGTTGGTATAAATTTATTCCTCACGTTTATATTCAGCTATATAAAACTGGGTGGTTTTCGAAATAATCTTGTTGGTCTTCTTGAATGAATGTAGCTACTCACTCGAAGAAAATAACTCCTTTGATCTGGTTAATTGAGTCTTTCAATACAATGTGAAATAGGAGATTCACCAATGGAGGTTGGGATAAACAAAGAGTAAAAAACATCGTCAGACCATATATTAGGGTCTTTTAAATTACCCATCTTTAGTTAATATGAACAAGTAAAAATCTTAATAATCACAATTGTAGAGGTTTATAGAAAACGAAGAGGTAGGTGAAAATATGCCATGAAAATGCTATACAGCATCACTACTTTGACTGTTATCCATTGTAAGGTAAAGATTGAACTGATCTGTTTTGCTGGGATGATGGATAATGACTCATGTTTGTAAAATAAAGACTAATGAAATATAACAATCAGTCCCTTTGATGTTTATTAACACACACATAGAGAGGGGTAATCGTGATCTGCAAGTAAATGGTTGAACATATATCGAAATGGCTGAGAAAACAAATGAACTCCAATGATTAAATAAGCTCACAGTATAGACAGGTATCTCCTGCAATTGAGAAATATTCGGTTGAGACGGGTCATAGGGTCAATAGCAAGTCAGCCTTTATAGTGCTAGAAAAAAGTTTTCAACGTCGTATATCTTCTTTGACTTTTTATTTTTCATACATAATATCTTAACAAGTATTAGTGTAATCAAATTGTTCGAAACATAATTCCAATAATCTTCGTCTACTCATTGCATTGTCCTAATGAAGTGTGATTAACTCTCTTGTAAAGTTTACCAAAAATTTGCAAGGTTGAACCTGCTGCTACTATGATGAATACTACTGAATGGTTATTCATAGAGACCTCCTTAATCAAACTTTCTTTGTTGTTTAAGTAATAATTAATTCTTTGTTCCTACTATTCTGAGCTATTTTGCATTCTAGTCAATTGAAGATTCATGTGATCTTCGTCATGCAGGGCCTTTCATTGGACAAATGCCAAGACAATTCTTTCCTCCTATTCCATCTCATGAGGGTAAGTTGCTCTTATTGACAATTTTTTTCTAATAAAAAAAATAGTATTTCTAGAACTATATTTATTTATTTAAATACATAAATATTGGTACAAAGGGGCACCAAAATATATATGGGCCACACAAATCTCATTTGATTTGTATGAGGGCTGTGATTATTATTATTATTATTATTATTATTATTATTATTATTATTATTATTATTATTTGAATACATAAATATTGGTACAAAGCGGCACCGAATACATATGCGCCGCACAAATCTCATTTGATTTGTGTGAGGGCCACGATACTGCTCAGGTGCCAAAACTGAAGCAGGTGGTTTTCTTAGGTTGCCACACCCGGAGCCTTTGACCTAAAAATCTGATCCACGAGGTAGTGGAGCATCGTAAGGAGATGCAGTCCCATGGTAGCCGGTGACCAACGATTGATTCGTATGCCATTTGTTCCATCAGGATACTGGAGCCCATATGCATTATTGGTTTGGAATTAGGGTTTCTCAACTCCCGTAGGTAAACTTTCCGTGCCCACCAAGACTAAAAGCAGCAAATCCAAGGTCCGAAAGCGAAGTCGTACTGCTGACTGTACAGAGGTGTGACAGCAGTAAGGTGTTTCCTTCAGACAACCAGCATGACAGCGATGCTGCCTTCCCACAAGGAGGGGTGGGGTTAGAAAAGGTCGACCCTAAAAATGCACACCTCGCCTTATCCCACGGATATCCGTCTCCGGCGGTAAGGTTTTTTTTGAAGAACGGAGCTAACACAAAAACTACCCACAAAAAGGTCGTGTGTGACCGACCTCAAGCAGTTGTCCCTTGGGCACTGCGGTCACGCTCTCAGGTCATTAAGACCACTTCTAACCCAATTTCCTTTTCAGGTACCTCTAGAAGAATCCTTCCACGGTGTGGGCAACCGGGAAGTGATAACTGCCCTCATACCTCTAACAACACTCAAGACCACTGTATTCATAATCAATCTCCTTCTTCAATTCCTACTACCTTGACTTTCAACACAAAACTTCCTCTCTCGGTTTCCTCCTCAAGTGTCACCATGGCCAACGATTCTAGTGCGCGAAACGCTATCCCAAGTCTACTAAAACCTCGCTCCAAACTACACATTGGAGCCTTCAACGTACGTACCCTATGCCAAATCGGTCAACAGGTCTCCTTAGCTAAAACCCTAGAATCTCGTACCATTGATGTATGCTGTGTCTCCGAAACACGTATACAGGATCCCAGTGTAGTGATTCACTTGACCTCACCTCGCCAAAATGGACAGCCGACGAAATACACCCACCGTGTATCTGACGCCCCGTTGGCTAGTTCTTGCGGACTTGCAGGTGCAGGCATAGCACTAAGTACAAGGGCAGAACAGGCACTACTAGAATGGATCCCCGTTGACAGTCGCCTGTTTGCTGTCCGGCTAAATGGCTCCATAAGAACTCGGAAGGATAGGGACACATGTTGCCTTTTCGTCGTTTCTGCCTACGCTCCCACTGTCTGCAGCCATGATGATTGAAAGATGACTTTTACAGAAAGCTCTCTGAGCTTCTTCAGAAAGCTAAGCGCTCAGACATAGTAGTCTTAGCGGGTGACTTTAATAGCATCTAAAATACTAGCCTCAATAATTATCGGGTGCCTAACTAAGACTCATGAACTGCAAACACGAGAAAATCAAGCTGCCTTCAGACCTGGTCGTGTCTGTTTCGACCACATATTCACCATTCGTCAAGTTTTAGAGCACAGACACGCTTATCGGCGTCCGACAATGATAGTTTTTCTTGACTTGAAAGCAGCATTTGACTCTGTAGAGCGAGAGGTTCTGTGGCAGTGTCTGTCATTGAAAGGTGTACCTGAGAAGTACATAAACGTTTTGAAGGCTCTTTACTCGAACACTACCAGTCGAGTGAGAGCTTATGGCGAACTGTCATATGATTTTATAACCTCAATTGTTGTCCGTCAAGGCTGTCCACTATCCCCATTTTTGTTTAACTTCATTATAGACCTGTTGCTGAAAATAGCACTCTCTGCGACTGAATTTTTAGGAATTGATCTCCTACCAGGGGGACCACTAAGCGACTTAGAATACGCAGATGACATAGTCCTGTTTGGTGAAGACACTGACAAAATGCAGAGTCTTCTGTTGGAACTGAGTAATAATGCCAGGATGTTTGGGATGCGTTTCTCCCCATCCAAATGTAAATTGTTACTCCAGGACTGGCCTGCGTCAACACCTGAACCAAGGATAGGGAGTGAAGTAGTCGAACGCGTCGACAACTTCACTTATCTTGGAAGTCTGATCAGTCCTAATGGGTTGGTGTCTGACGAAATCTCAGCACGGATTCAAAAAGCTCGTTTGGCTTTTGCCAATTTACATCACCTATGGCGAAGACGAGATATCCGTCTATCAATTAAGGGACGAGTATACTGCGCAGCAGTTCGCTCTGTTCTAATTTACGGCTGTGAAACATGGCCATTAGGAGTAGAAGATTCATGTAAGTTACTAGTATTTGACCACAGATGCCTTAGAAATATTGCTCGCATCTGCTGGGATCACCGAGTAAGTAGTAGTGAGGTTAGACACAAAATATTAGGGAATGATGGTAAATCAGTTGATGCGGTGATGAATCTTCATCGACTGAGATGGTTGGGCCACGTGTTACGTATGCCTGAACACCGATTACCACGACGCTCTATGCTGAATAGTGTAGGGGATGGTTGGAAGAGAGTTAGGGGCGGCCAAACCAAAACATGGCATCAGTGTTTGAAGTCACTAACTTCTAGCCTGAGCCATGTTGACAGATGCAGACTACCTGGTTGGGGTCCGCGTGACTATCGTAACCAATAGTTGGAGACTCTGTGTGACATGGCTCAGAATCGATCACAATGGCGTAGGTGTATACACTCTTTATCTTCCCTTAAACCTTAAGATTAAAATCGCTTCATAACTTTCTTCCCTCCTATACTATATCCTTATATACAACCTATAATTTATATACTACTACCACCACTAAATTAACTACTATGAATCCGGTGTTGATCTTGTTCTGCTAACGAGGCATGGCGACTTGGATCGATGCATATATGTGCCTGGTCCTACGTTGTAGCTGACTGACTGACACTTTAGTTCATTCTCAAAGTTTAATATCATCAATCTTTCTTCCATCTTATCATTAAACCAAACTCCTTGGAATAAAAAGAATACCGAATTGATTTAACAGATTCTCTGATGGAGTTTTATTCTCTGAGCCGGATGATTTGCTTGTGGAGCTTTCTACCCGAAGTTTGTGCTGATGATGTTGTTCAGAAGGACAATGATAGCTCCACGACCAAAACCATTTAGCTCAGAGAACAAAACTTCATCAAATTCATCTACATGAGCTACAAATCTTCTTCACTATAACAGATTCTCTCCAATGATCAATATTCTATTATTTCAAACTACTTAATTTAGCTTACTTTAGTCATTGCTTTATCAGCTTAACCCCGCCCTTCCAGCTATAAAAACATGGTGAAGCCTAGTAGGCCCTTATGGAGAAGAATACTAAGTCAAAGCACAGCACAACTACCGGGGCTCAATAGCTGTTTTTGCATTGCTTACGCAGAATCATTACATCTTTTTTTCTTTTCTGTATTTTTGGGGGCAGACTCTTTCTTTCTTTCTTTTTAAACCAACAATAATAATCATGCAATGATTCTTTGTAGCTTTCGTAATCATTTGTGTGGGTATAAGTAGAGTGGTTGATTAGGGCCGATCCCTACCACCCGGGTTACCTCTCACGTTAGTTCAAGTGAACAATCCCATGATCTGGGAAGCATGACGAGAACGTGTGATTAGGGGGTTTTGCCTCCCGGCGCTTTAACCGGGTTGGTGGACACGGAGGGTCCACCTAAGGGAGTTGGAAAACCCTGATTCCAAACCAATGGTACACATGGGCTCCAGTATCCTGATGAAAGGAATGGCGAATGAACCTGCTGTTGGTCAGCGGCTACCTTAGGACTGCATCTCCTCACGATGCTCCACTGCCTTGTGGACCAGACCTTTAGGTCAAAGGCTCGGGGTGTGGCCCCCTAAGAAAACCACCTGCTTCGGTTTGGGCACCTGGGCAGTATCACAGCCCTCGCACAAATAAATGAAATGATGAATTCTATTGACGATACTATTCTCGCTCACACTAGAAGCAAGACAATTTACACTATTATTATTATTACCATTATTATTATTATTTTTATTATTAATATTACTATTATTTACTACGTCGCTTTTTCACTCCCTTTATTCCCAAATTATGTATCCTTCCTTTTCAACTTATGCAGTAGCTCGCCCATGGTGGAAACTCTGTCCTATCTAAACGATCTCCAGTCACTGTCTGGTAGAAAGTGAATGCTTCCACCGATAACGAATACTGAAGCAGTCCTTCTGAAACCACGTACGCCGTTCAAGCTGGCTTCCTTCAACGTTCGCACACTAATGCATATCAGACAACAGATGGGGCTGGCTATGTCTTTGGAAGGTCTTAATGTTGATGTTTGTTGTCTATCCGAGACCCGTATTCAAGACTCTAGTGAAGTACTACAAATCCGCTCTCCATCTGTCGCCTCAAAAAGCTTGTTTCACGTGCGCTAATCCGGGGACCCTGTGGCATCTTCGTCTGGTCTTGCTGGCGTTGGTGTCGCACTAAGCGCTAGGGCTGAGGCAGCACTAATCGATTGGATCCCCATTAACAGTCGGTTATGTGCTGTTAGATTAGAAAGTTCCATCAAAGTGAGAAGAAATCGGCGTGAGAAACGGTGTCTTTTCGTCATCTCCGCCTATGCCCCGATTTCTGGCCAGCACTAACTTCCGGCACAGTCATCGCCGGTGTGCCACCTGGCGTCCTCCCTCTGCATCTCAAGCCTGGACTCAGATTGATCACATCGCGATCAGCTACCGCTGGCGTGGTTGTGTACAAGACTGCCGCTCATTTTGGAATACATATTTGGAGTCTGATCATGCCCTGGTCTGCGCCAATCTCACCTTACTTTTTAGTGGCCGAAGGATTGACCACCACCAACAGATTGATGTTAGTAAACTGGCTGCAGCATCTCTTGCAAGTAAGTATCGAGCGGAGCTAGCTTCTAGGCTAGCTACCACCCCACCGGAAAGTACAGATGAGCATTGGTTGCATCTTCACGACGCCATGAAAATGGCGAGTAAAGCCGCTTGCGGCTTCGCGAAACGTCCCGCTTACAAGCACTGGGTTTCTTCTGGCTCCTTACAACTGATGAAAGCCCGTCGGTCTACTCCGGGTGACCGTGAGTTTGACCACAAACGAAGGCTGTTACGTAATGAAATCGGGCAAAGCTTGCGTAAGGACCGGGAAGCCTGGTGGTCGGAGCGTGCTAATGAGATGGAAGCAGCAGCTGCATCTGGTAACTGCCGGAAGCTCTTCCAACTCATCCGAGCCACTGGCAGCAAGAAGTCTGGTGTGAGTGAAACAATCTACGAGGATGACGGGGTGCCAATCACTAACATCTGTCGACGTCTTGGACGATGGGCGGAATTTTTTGAAAGGCAGTTCAACTGGCCTGCTGCTCCGGCAACATCAACCAGCTTGTCCTGCCCGCCATGGCCGGTGACGACTGATCCACCAATTGAGGCGGAAGTCCGCAAGGAACTCCAACTCTTGAAGCGCTACAAATCACCGGGCCCAGATGACTTACCTCCGACTCTTTTTAAAGATGGTGGTGACTTTCTGGCTAAGGAACTGACGGTGTTGCTTGCAAAGATTTGGGAGCAAGAAAGTGTTCCAACATCATGGAATGAGTCGATAGTCGTCTCTATCTTTAAAAAGGGTTCACGTTGTTCCTGTAACAACTACCGGGGAATAAGTCTACTTCCGATTGCATCCAAACTATTGGCTTCTGTCATTCTTCGTAGGTTGTTTAAAACCCGAGAACGATTGACTCGCGAGGAGCAGGCTGGTTTTCGTTCTGGTCGAGGATGCATTGATCACATCTTCACCCTCCGCCAAATGTTAGAACACCGTCATACTTATCGCAGACCAACAATCGTAGTGTTTCTTGATATCAGGGCTGCCTTCGATTCGTTGGACAGGACTGTTCTCTGGGATTGTCTATTGAAGAAGGGTGTGCCTGAGAAGTGCATTAACATCTTAAAGGCCCTGTATACGAACACCCCAGGCAGAGTGAGGGATACAACCACCTTTCTCCCTTGTTCCATTTGAGCAGTGGGGCTAGACAGGGTTGCCCGATCTCACCATTCCTCTTCAACTTTGCCATCGACGACACCCTGGAAACAGCTCTGATGGATGTAAGTAATGGCGGTGTGGTTATGTTGCTTGGAGAACGACTTTTCGATCTCGAGTATGCGGATGATATTGTCTTACTGTGCGATAATGCCCAAGGCATGCAATCCGCACTTAATTAGTTGGCAATTAGTATCCACAGGTACGGCATGTGCTTTACACCCTCCAAGTGCAAAATACTCCTAAAGACTGACAGGATTCTAATACTGTACTCACTCTGGATGGTGAGCAGATTGAAGTAGTTGAGAAGTTCGTGTATCTAGGTAGTTATATAAGTGCTGGTGGTGGTGTGAGTGATGAGATTGATGCACGTACAAGGAAAGCCAGAGCGGCTTATGCCAATCTGGGCCATCTTTGGCGCCTTCATGGTGTTAGTGTGGCTGTAAAAGGTCGGATCTACAACGCGTCGGTGAGAGTAGTTTTGCTCTATGCTTGTGAAACCTGGCCTCTCCGAGTTGAGGATGTTAGACGTCTCTCTGTGTTCGATCATCGTTGTCTCCGAAGGATTGCTGACATCCAGTGGCAACACCATGTTGGTAATGCAGAGGTTCGGCATCATGTGTTCGGGCGCAGAGACGATAATTCAATTGGTGTCACCATCTTGAAACACCGACTTCGGTGGCTTGGACATGTTTTACGAATGTCGTCCCAGAGACTTCCACGTCGTGCATTATTGGCCGACTCTGGAACTGGTTGGAGAAAGCGTAGAGGAGGTCAGTGTATGACATGGTTTCGTGGTATGAAAGAAAGCTGCAAAGGGCTAGCTTCTGTTGGTCCTTCACTACTCCCTAGCTGAGGTCCGAGAGATGGTGCAACACAGTGGCTAGAGACGTTATCAGATATGGCTCAGAATAGAAGCCAGTGGCGATCCTGCTGCAACCTTCTTTTACTTTTTTCATAAAGAGTGGTTATAACTTTCTTAACTGAGAGAGTTCTTCTGGTTGTACATTTCAGTCCGCCTTATCTTTTCATCCCTTCTCTTCCTACTTTCATTATTTTGTGTGGCGCATATGTACCTGGTGCCCTTTTGTACCAATATATATGTGTTTAAATTAATAAATAATTAAATAAACCCAAGTAAAGTAGTTAATTACCTGTCGACTCATAATAGTCTTATACACTTTTCAATGGTATAAATTTATTCAGCCCTTGTAATCTGGTGTGTGACGAAATCTCAGCACGGATACAAAAGGCTCGTCTAGCTTCCGCCAACTTTCGTCATTTATGGCGTAGGCGAGATATCCGTCTAGCAACCAAAGGACGGGTTTACTGTGCAGCAGTTCGTTCCATCCTATTTTATGGCAGTGAAGCATGGCCGGTAAGAGTAGAGGATATTCGTAGGCTACTAGTATTCGATCATAGATGTCTTCGAAGCATTGCTCGTATATCCTGAGACCACCGGGTAAGTAATGCAGTTGATAAGAAACGGGTACTAGGTAATGATGGCAAACCGATTGGTGAAGTAGTGAAACTTCATCAGTTGAGATGGCTGGGACATGTGTTACGTATGCCTGACCATCGAATGCTCCGTCTTGCGATGTTTCATGGTGTAGGAGTAGGTTGGAAGAAAGCTAGGGGCGGCCAGACAAATACATGGCACAAATCTATGAAGTCACTGACAATTGGACTGAGCTATGCTAGTAGGTGTAGACAAACTGGTTGGGATCCGCGAGATAATAGCAATCGATGGTTAGAGACCTTGAATAACATGGCTCAAAATGGTTTGCAATGACAAAGGTGCATCCACTATTTGTGTCCTCCCAAATTCTAATCTTTCTTCTCTTTCCAAATTTATTTCACTGTATTATACTCCTTCAATAACATTTTCAAACCCTAATCTTTCCAACTACTGCTTAAACTGTTACTACCTCTACCATTATGGTATTTGAATGGACAACTTCATCTCTGTGCTAATGTGGTATGGCAACTCGAACTGATGTACGTACGTACGAAGTTCTACGTTGTGACTGACTGAATAGATTATCATTACAATTGTAAATGTATCATTTAACTTTTTTTAATTTTATTATTTAAACTTTAATATTGAAAGATCAAGGGATAGTTTCCAATATAAATCACCTTATTTGTTTTGTAGTAAAATTGAAGCCTTAACGTAAGTTATCACTAATAACAGATATCAACTTAATTAAGTATGTAATACGAAAAAACAACCTGTAAAATCCCATTTTCTTTTCATGGTGTTGATTTTTCAAAGGCTTAATGGACCTGTTTTTGTTGACACATTTACTTACGCCTGTTACTCCTAATGGAGCATAGGCCGCCCACCAGCTTTCTCCAACCCACTCTGTCCTGGGCCTTCTTTTCTAGTTCTATCCAGTTTTTGTTCATTCTTCTTATGTGTGTCGCTATTTTTCGGCGTAATGTGATTTCTTTGGTCTTCCTCTTCTCCTTTTGCCTTGAGGATTCCATATGAGGGCTTGTCTTGTGACGCAATTTGGTGATTTCCTCATAGACTTTATATATGTGCCAGGATTGTTGTATTTGATGAGGAATACAGAATATATATAATATTATGTTCCAAAGACGTTTTACTTCCTTCATGTGTCTTACAAGTACGAAGGATACACCTTAAGAATTTGGCAATCCCCAACTTGTGTATAGTACATTTCTTAATATTCTATCATACTAAACTTGTTGCTATATGATAATAATCATAAGATATATGTAATGTACAAGTAGTTGCTGGTGTTATCCCTCTTTTTTTCTCTCTGTTATACTCATAATAGAAGGATTAAAAGGTAAATCAATTAATGAATTAAGACGTGAACGTGAAATTCAATATAAAGAATTACAAAAGAAACAAGAATCAATGAATATTGTATTAGTTGTATCACGTATTGGTACTGAAGATGTAAGTTAATATCTTATATCATCATATGCAAATGTACGTGATCTCTATGTATTTATCATCTCTAATCTTTTATTATCCTTTGAAAATAGTGTTTTCCTTTTGTTCGTTTTCTTAATACTTTCGTTGTTTATATGGATTTAATTGTTCAAGGTAATCCGTAGTGTATTATACTGGATTAATTTATGAATCAGTTTGAGATGACAATATTTTGAAATAATCAGTCATCATCATCGTAAGGTCTGTCACCAATATGTATCAATCTAATTTGGCAGGTTTTATTTACTTACGTCTGTTACTCCCAAAGTAGCATAGGCTGCCGACCATCATTCTCCAACCCACTCTGTCCTCCGCCTTCCTTTTTAGCTTTATTCAATTTTTGTTCATTCTTTTCATATCTGTTTCCACTTCGCGTAATGTGTTCTTTGGTCTTCCTCTTCTCGTTCGGCTTTTAGGGCTTGTCTTGTGATGCAGTCGGGTGCTTTCCTCAAAGTGTGTCCTATCCACTTCCAGTACTTCTTCCTGATTTATTCCTCCGCTGAAATCTGGTTTGCTCTTTCCCACAGTAGGTTGTTGTTGATATTTTCTGACCAACGGATCCGAAGTATTTTACGTAGACAACTGTTAATAAACACTTGTATCTTCTGGATGATGATTTTCCTAGTTCCCCAAGTTTCCTCCCCATACAGTAGAACTATCTTGACATTTGTATTGAAAATTCTGATCTTGGTGTTGGTTGACAATTGTTTTGAGTTCCAGATGTTCTTTAATTGTAGATATGCTGCTCTTGCTTTGCCGATCCTCGCCCTCACATCTGCATCTGATCCACCGTGTTCATCAATGATGCTGCCCAGATATGTAAAGGTTTCCACATCCTCCAAAGCTTCTCCGTCAAGTGTAATTTGATTGGTGCATATTGTATTGTATGGGAGAGTCTTGCTTTTCCCTTTGTTTATATTGAGACCTACTGCCGCTGAGGCTGTTGCTACACTGGTCGTCTTCTACTGTATTTGTTGTTGCGTTTGTGATAGAAGAGTCAGATCATTTGCGAAGTCTAAATCGTCCAGCTGCATCCTAGCTGTCCACTGTATCTCGTGCTTTCCTCCAGATGTTGACGTCTTCATGATCCAGTTGACCACCAGGAGAAAGAGAAAGGGTGAGAGTAAGCAACCGTGCCTGACACCGGTCTTTACTTCGAACGAGCCTGTCAACTGTCCTCCATGAACGATTTTGCAGTTTAATCCATCATAGGAATTCCGTATGATATTGACTATCTTCTCAGGCAGGCCGTAGTGTCGAAGAAGCTTCCATAGTCTTGTCCTGTCCACACTATCAAATGCTTTCTCGTAGTCAACAAATTTGATGTAAAGTGATTAATTCTATTCAATTGATTGTCCTACAATTATCGTTAGTGTTGCGATTTGGTCTGTACACGATCGATCCTTACAGAATCCAGTCTGTTGGTCTCGAAGTTGGGCGTCTGTGGAGTCCTGCATTCTGTTTAACAACACCCGTAGAAAACTAACTCGCTAAAAAAACACTAACCAGTAAGATTTTATATCAGCATAGAAATACAGGGAAAACTAACAAAGTATGGAACAAGAGAGAGATATTAATTAAATCTACAAGGGGAAGTGAAACGAGCAATATACATCAAGATTTTTATTTTCGAATGCCTCCTATTTAGTGAGTAATCGGAATTACTATTATTTGTCCGCTAAGTTCCATGATGTCATCTATCCTACTTAAAATGCTTCAATCGGATAAAAACAAAACTACACGCTTATTTTCCATTAAATAGTTAATAAACTCATCTGTCTAATAGCAATATCTTACTTATTAAAACATGAATGTACTGCATAAGAGTCCACTTTGTTTTAGTTTATATTTATGACACGTAGTTTTTAAAATTAGATAGCATACGTATTTTACTAGTACTTGATCTTAACTGTAGTTTTATTAAGTGAAGATATAAAATCGCGTGATGAAACTAAATTTCTCATAACTGAGTGGTTGAGATATATATTACGTAATCTTAACCACTGCCAACCTCGACACGTGATGCCGGTTAAAATAGTTGTAGTTGAGAAGAGACCAAACGGCAACCGAAACTTCCCGTAGCATCAATTCATATTGCCATTGAATGTCAGTCTTAGTCATGATAGTAGGTGAAGACTGTCATCATGATGATTAGAATCAACTGGTTAAAGATGCATTGTCACAGCTTAAAATCAATCACAATGGAACGTGCACATTTAATGGAAAAAGTATCATCGATGCTATCTGGATAATCGTAGCTCAATATATCGGGTATTATGCAAAGTTGGAAATATGAGTGATTGAATCTATATTTATATGCCCTGAAGTAGTGTAGTTGCTCTTCTAGGGTTACTGCCGGTCCTAAGCCCGGATAAAGGAAGAAGGTTAAGCATGGAGTCAACAATCCCATCCTGTAGAAAACAACCTTGCTAAAAAAAACGCTAACCAGAATGAGCAAAGTAAACCATATGAACTCTTCTCTGACACTTGAAGGATCTTCATTCACAAGAATGGTAAAAACCGAGATTATTCGGGAGTCACGAGATCAATGCCTCTTCTAACAACCAGAACAAAAATTTTTATAGGTACATGGAATATCTGCACAGTGTGGGTGACTGAGCGGACCAGTCAAATGGCAATAGAAATGAGGAAATACAAATAGATGGTGCTCAAAATAAGTGAAACCCATTGAATTTAAACTGGACAGTGAAAGATAGATTCATGGGAGGTGCTGTTGTACTCTGGTAATAGAGAAGGAAAAAAGGGCTCCACACACTCAGGCAGTCACTCTGATGTTATTCAAAGAAGCATGTAATGCAATTGTTGCATGGGAATCTCGTCTATCCAGAATCATCAAATCATGCTTCAAAATGAAGAAGGAGGTAATCAGAATGAATGTTATGCACAAAGCAACGATATCAATGATGAAGATAAAGATGAGTTCTACTCGAAATTACAATCGATCATAGCGAAGTGCCCAGCAAAGGACCTGACCATCGGTATGGGAGATCTAAACGCCGAAATCGGAATGGACAATACCGGTTATAAAGATAAAGTGGTAAGACATGGACTGAATGAGAGAATGAAACGAGAAGGGTGACAGATTTGCAAATTTATGTGCATTCAACAAAGTGGCTATAGGTGGTACAAACAAACGCATACACGAAGTTACATGTCTTATCGGATCACATTACAGTGAATCAGATAGATTGGGAAAGCAAAGGCAACATTCTTTCAGGTGAAGAACATATAGAACTCGAAACAACTGTCTGCAAGTCAGTACCGAAGTGAAAATCTTCAAATCGAAAGTCAAGACAGTTCTACTTTACGGAGCTGAAACGTGGAGAACTATCACAACCATCATCAAAAAATACAAATATTTCTAAACAATTGTCTACGCAAGATAATCAATAGTTGTTGGCCGAATACTATCAACAACAACCTACTGTGGGAGATGACAGACCAACTTTCAACTGAAGAGGAAATTAGTGGATAGTACATACATTGATGGAATCAACGAACTGCATCACAAGTCAAGCGCTAACTTAGAATCTTGAGGGGAAACAGAAAAGAGGGGCGCTTAAGAACACACTGCTTCGAGAATTGGAAGCAAACATGTGAAAGAATGATTAATAACTGAAAAGAACTCGAAAGGATTGTTCATGACAGATTTGGATGGGGAATGCTTGTGAGCAGTCTATGCTCCTCTAAAAGCGGTAACGCGTAAGTAATTAAGTTTGGTTTGCTGCAAAACTTGGATATTAGGAGTGCAATAGCCCATAGACTCACTTTTGAGCACTACTAAAGAAGTCCCAACCTAAAATAAAAGAGCTACCTGTATTTCAGTGATTCTTCAATAGGTATCAGCCCGTTATACAAACCATCTAAAAACTAGACAAAACCCCATAAAACAAACAACTATACAATTTTTTTAGTGTTAACAGAAAAAGATGACAGAATATGAATTTAAAGTAATGATCTTCTGGTCGAGATAGTAGTCGAAGATGGTCATCAGGGAATCCTGGACCCAGGTTTCGTGCTATATGGTACTCGTCAACAAGGTGTACCTGTAATCTTGAGGGAACAGATTCGATCCCATGTCAACCAGTTTCACGAGTCGCCTGTAAACCATCCAGTAATTCAACTTTCCAAGTTAAAACTTGAGTTATTTTCATATTGAATTTATTCCTCTTCATCGTGATTTCTCTTTTTTTTCTTCTATTCACATAGCAATTATCCTTAGCTAAAGAGAATGAAATATTGACGAAAGAGCGACTTTGTTCTGGTTTAACCCTATTCGAATTTGTAAGTTTTTAAAAGTTATCTTTAAATAACCAAAAACAATTTTCATCGCTTTTATATTAATCACTTCTCACTCATATTGTTTATTTCCATGGTTAGTAAGCAGTTATGAAGAAAATTTGTAGTTCAGGTGGGACGGTTTTGATGTTCAGTTCTTTGAAGTTGTCGTCTAGAATGACAGTAAATGCTCTGCAATTTAATTATCTAGTTCAGAGACCTTGACCCAAAATTTAACCAAACATTTATTTGGTCTTCACAATTGATTGATCACTGGGTGGCGATCAATGTTATGCGTGTCAAGTCCGTCTTAGTGCTGATCGAATGCTATCGGTCAAGCTGCAATGTGGCCACTAGTCTAGGTGGTTCGACACTGCGTGCACTATGGTGGTTGGAGGTGGTCAACAGGAAACCTTGGACCGGGGTTTCGTGCTACTTTGCACTCGTCAGCAAGGTGTACCTGTAATCTTGAGGGAACTAGTGCTCCCTGTCGGATTCTAACTTTTGTGTTCAGCTAATTACTATTGATTCCATGAATAAACTTCTCTTTCTATGCTCTTTAACATTTCCATTCGTGCATGTTCGCGAGTTTGTATTTTCCTCTACATTTTCTCATGTTAATCCTTATGGAATGTGATCCGCAAACCTAATCAAGTTGGTTTAAATATTCTCAACGGATATCTCACTTTGAAGTTAATCAAAAGTCATGATTCTTATAATACTAACAACAGAAATGATTTTTAAATATAATTTCCGACCGTATAATGAATTGTTTATCGTTGAATGCTTCAATTTATAGGAAGTATTTCAGTGGATGATTCTTATATATAGTACATACAAGAATAGTTTCCAAAAGTTATGGTGTATCTAACTGCTTTCCCCCTTGTGTAAAACGGTTACATACTTGAGATGCATGCATGATTGCTGCAAATCTTTTTTTATTGTATTTGAACACATAAATATTGGTACAAAGTAGCACCAGATACATATGCGCCACACAAATCTCATTTGATTTGTGTTAGGGCTATGATACTGCCCAGGTGTCCGAACTGAAGCAGGTGCTTTTCTTAAGGAGCCACACACCGAGCCTTTGACCTGAAGGTCTAGTCCACAAGGCAGTGGAGCATCGTAAGGAGATGCAGTCCCATGTTAGCCGGTAACTAACGATTAGTTCATACGCCATTTGTTCCATCAGGATACTGGAGCCAGCCCATGTGCACCATTGATTTGGAATCAGGGTTTTCCAACTCCCCTAGATAGGCTTTCTGTGTCCACCAACCTGGTTAAAACACCGTGCATTCGCTTTTCGTCCTCTTAATTTCGTAAACAACACCTGTGGCACGAGAAGGCAGTGAGTAAGACTTCCCTGTCATAGGCTATATACGGGTGGCCATGTGAAAACATTTCGAGAGGGAGAGCGGACTCTCCTTACTCTCGGCCGTACCGGGGCATTTGGGGGCTAAAAATCTATGTATACTAGATGCAATAATTGTACGGATGAACGGTAGTTATCTGGTTTACTTCGATTTTTCAACAGATTGCGAATGCTTGATTAAAGATTAACATTTTTTTATTGTTTGAATTTCTCTCGATTTCTTGCATTCTCTACTTCTTATAAATAGGTTCTTAATAAAATTAAAAGTTTTCTTCATGAAGAAGATTCTGATGGAAATACTTGGAATCGTCTTTCTAATATTGCTAAACGTAATTCCATATGTAATGGAACTACTACACATTATAATAATAATGATATACTTGGCTTAGAAAGTTATACACATTTTCATCGTTTATGGTCTGCTATTCAATTAGTATTTTGTACACCATTTGGACAGAATGAATATACAATTGAAGAAATGTTTGGTGAAGGATTAAATTGGGCTGGATGTGCAATTATTTTATTATTAGGTCAACAACGTCAATTTGAAGCACTTGATTTTGGTAGTCTTATTTTACGACTACAACGAATTGATAAAAAAGATGCAACACCAATGGGGATTGTAAGTTTTATTAAAATTTATTACTTACTTACTTGCTTACTTACTTATTTACGCCTGCTACCCCTCATCGAGGAGCATAGGCCGCTCACCAGCATTCTTCATCCAACTCTGTCCTGAGCAATCCTTTCCAGTTCTTTCCAGTTAACATTCATCCTTTTCATATCTGCTTCTATTTCCCGGCATAGTGTGTTCTTTGGCCTTCCTCTTTTCCTTTTCCCTTCTGAATTCCATGTTAGGGATTGCCTTGTAATACACATTGATGATTTTCTTAATGTATGTCCGATCCACTTCCAACGTCTTTTCCTAATTTCCTCTTCAGCTGGAAGCTGGTTTGTCCTCTCCCATAAAACGCTGTTGCTGATAGTATCCGGCCAATAGATGTTGAGTATTTTGCGTAGACAACTGTTCATAAATACTTGTACCTTCCTGATGATGGTCGTAGTAGTTCTCCACGTTTCACTTCCGTACAGTAGGTCTGTCTGCACGTTCGTATTGAAGATTGTGACTTAGAAATTAGTCGAGAGTTGTTTTGAGTTCCATATTATTATTATTAGTGTGTAATAAGTACTACCTATTAATGTGTCGTTATATCTGTCTGTTTTAATCTGGTATACGAATTGTTACTGTGGTAAATTGATCCAGTTTTGATAGCTTAATTGCTAAGTAATTTACAGGGAGTAAATTTAGATTGAAACGATTTCAAGTTTAGTAAAGAGCTATGAGTACTGTTATTTGGTGACTCAACATACTAGAGTTTATCAGTCTATGTAAAAAGTATTTCATTTATTTTAAATTAAAACAGTTTCCCTCTAATTTTCTTTTTTACCATTTAGTCTCTGGAACGAATGGCTGCACGTTTGAGTCGTTTCTCAGTACTCAATCGTCAAATATTTTCTACATTAAATGTTTATCTTCATCCTGTCGATAGACTAGATGAATCAAGTGTTCGTGTTCGCCAGTTTCCTATACCTACCTGGTCAAAATCATAAACGATGATCTTTTTTTCAAACCATGTAATTTGTACCCCCCTTTTCCAATTTCTTTGGTATAACGCTTCTTGTATTATAAACCACCTCAATTAATGGCATTTTATAGAGTTCCTTTTGGTCTTTTTTTATATTTTGATCATACCGGTAATTGTTTTTCTTTGATTTACTGCTTTCCTGGTGTTTTTGCTTTTTTATCTATCTTTTTCACCTCTTTTTTTCCTTGGAGAAATGTGTATAAATAAATTCATAAGGTAAATACAGTTAATTTATGGTGTTATATGAATAATGATAATAATGTTTTGTCAGTAAAATTAGTTTCATGCAGATTACCATTGTTTTTGTTATGAAAAGTAAGTTGTATTGGATGGAATCTGGATTAGCGGTTGCCCACAAGTGCCCTGGTATGGCCGAGAGTGGGGAGAGTCCGCCCTCCCTCTCCAAATACTCACACGTGGCCACGCAAATATATAGCCTCTGCCAGGGAAGTCCTACTCACTGCCTTCTCGTGCCATTACTGCTGTTTGCGAAATTGAGAGGACGAAAAACGAATGTCCGGCGCTTCAACCGGGTTGGTAGACACGGAAATTTCACCTAGGAGATTTGGAAAACCCTGATTTCAAACCAATGGTGCACAGCCCCCAACTGCCCTGGTACGGCCAAAAGTAGGGAGAGTCCGCTCTCCCTCTCGAAATGCTCTCATATGGTCACGCGAATATATAGCCTCTGACAGGGAAGTCCTACTCACTGCCTTCTCGTGGCGGGGGTGTTGTTTACGAAAGTGAGAGGACGAAAAACGAATGTCCCGCGCTTTAACTTGGTTGGTGGATACGGAAGGTCCACCTAGGGGAGTTGGAAAACCCTGATTCCAAATCAATGGTGCACATGGGCTACAGTATCCTGAGGGAAAAAATGGCGTATGGATCGATCGTTGGTCACCGCCTACCATGGGACTGCATCTCCTCACGATGCTCCACTGCGTTGTGGATCAGATCTTTAGGTCGAAGGCTCCGGGTGTGACCGCCTAAGAAAAGCACTTGCTTCAGTTCGGGCACCTGGGCAGTATCACAGCCCTCTCGCAAATAAATTAAATGGAACATTCAGCTAACAATTATATTCTCGTTCATACAAGAAACAATTCAATTTACATTATTACTATTATTACTATTTACCATATTGCTTATTCACCCCCTTTTATCCCCAATTTGTGTCACCTTACTTTTCAACTTATGCAGCAGCTCCCTCTTGGTGGAAAATCTGTCCTATCTAAACGATCTCCAGTCACTGTCTGGTTGAAAGTGAATGCTTCCACTGATTATGAATACTGAAGCAGTCTCTCTGGAACCACGTACGCCGTTCAAGCTGGCTTCCTTCAACGTTCACACACTAATGCAGATCGGACAACAGATGGGGCTGGCTATGTCTTTGGAAGGTCTTAATGTTGATGTTTGTTGTCTATCCGAGACCCGTATTCAAGACTAGTGAAGTACTCCAAATCCGCTCTCCATCTGTCGCCTCAAAAAGCTTGTTTCACGTGCGCTTATTCGGGGACGCTGTGGCATCTTCGTCTGGTCTTGCAGGCGTTGGTGTCGCACTAAGCGCTAGGGCTGAGGCAGCACTAATCGATCGGATCCCCATTAACAGTCGGTTATGTGCTGTTAGATTAGAAAGCTCCATCAAAGTGAGAAGGAATCGGCATGAGAAACGGTGTCTTTTCGTCATCTCCGCCTATGCCCCGACAGATTGCAGCCCGGATGCAATCAAGGATGAGTTTTACCACCAGTTAACAGTTCTTCTCCAGAAAGCGCGTTCGACAGATATTGTAGTACTAGCCGGAGACTTGAATGCACAGGTCGGGCGTCTAGGCACAGAAGAGAGTCGTTTAGGTGGCCGATGGGGACTTGTTGGTCGCCGGACAGATAACGGGGACCGTTTGCTGCAACTGTGCACAGACCACAACCTGTTTCTGGCCAGCACTAACTTCCGGCACAGTCATCGCCGGTGTGCCACCTGGCGTCCTCCCTCTGCATCTCAAACCTGGACTTAGATTGATCACATCGCGATCAGCTACCGCTGGCGTGGTTGTGTACAAGACTGCCGCTCATTTTGGAGTACCTATCTGGAGTCTGATCATGCCCTGGTCTGCGCCAATCTCACCTTACTATTCAGTGGCCGAAGGATTGACCACCACCAACGGATTGATATTAGTAAACTGGCTGCAGCATCTCTTGCAAGTAAGTATCGAGCGGAGCTAGCTTCTAGGCTAGCTACCACCCCACCGGAAAGTACAGATGAGCATTGGTTGCATCTTCACGACGCCATGAAAATGGCGAGTAAAGCCGCTTGCGGCTTCGCGAAACGTCCCGCTCACAAGCACTGGGTTTCTTCTGGCTCCTTACAACTGATGAAAGCCCGTCGGTCTACTCCGGGTGACCGTGAGTTTGACCACAAACGAAGGCTGTTACGTAATGAAATCGGGCAAAGCTTGCGTAAGGACCGGGAAGCCTGGTGGTCGGAGCGTGCTAATGAGATGGAAGCAGCAGCTGCATCTGGTAACTGCCGGAAGCTCTTCCAACTCATCCGAGCCACTGGCAGCAAGAAGTCTGGTGTGAGTGAAACAATCTACGAGGATGACGGGGTGCCAATCACTAACATCTGTCGACGTCTTGGACGATGGGCGGAATTTTTCGAAGGGCAGTTCAACTGGCCTGCTGCTCCGGCAACACCAACCAGTTTGTCCTGCCCCCCATGGTCGGTGACGACCGATCCACCAAACGAGGCGGAAGTCCGCAAGCAACTCCAACTCTTGAAACGTTATAAATCACCGAGGCCAGATGACTTACCTCCGACTCTTTTTAAAGATGATGATGACTTTCTGGCTAAGGAACTGACTGTGTTGTTTGGCGGCCTGTTTAAACATCTGGGCTACCTGTTCCTGTCATCTAGATATTTCAACAAGTTATCTGATTTTGTTTGTTTTAATACATCATTATGCCTATTAATCGCACAACCTATTCAAGTGCGTTTCTGAAAAGTGTAAGACCTTTCGCTGTAAAGGTTACAGAAGGCTTATTCAGAGATATCGTGGTTTCTGGCAATATGCAGCGAGAAGAATGTACATTATCCAGATGTCGATTGACTGGGCTGTTAACTTCTAACAGGCAATCACCCAATATTTGTCGTCAGAAAGGACGAAGAGGTAAGAAACGGAAACTTGTTGAAGTACTTTGTGCTGAGAATTCTATATTGTACCAAAAATATAATATTGAATAAAGCTAATAATAATTGAATTGAATTGAATTGAAAGGTTTGGGAAGAAGAAAGTGTTCCAACATCATGGAATGAGTCAATAGTCGTCCCTATCTTTAAAAAGGGTTCACGTTGTTCCTGTGATAACTATCGGGGAATAAGTCTACTTCCGATTGCATCCAAACTATTGGCTTCTATCATTCTTCGTAGGTTGTTTAAAACCCGAGAACGATTGACTCGCGAGGAGCAGGCTGGTTTTCGTTCTGGTCGTGGATGCATTGATCACATCTTCACTCTCCGCTAAATGTTAGAACACCGTCATACTTATCGCAGACCAACAATCGTAGTGTTTCTTGATATCAGGGCTGCCTTCGATTCGTTGGACAGGACTGTTCTCTGGGATTGTCTATTGAAGAAGGGTGTGCCTGAGAAGTGCATTAACATCTTAAAGGCCCTGTATACGAACACCTCAGGCAGAGTGAGGGCATACAACCACCTTTCTCCCTTGTTCCATTTGAGCAGTGGGGTTAGGCAGGGTTTCCCGATCTCACCATTCCTCTTCAACTTTGCCATCGACGACACCCTGGAAACAGCTCTGATGGATGTAAGTAATGGCGATGTGGTTATGTTGCTTGGAGAACGACTTCTCGACCTTCATTATGCGGATGATATTGTCTTACTGTGCGATAATGCCCAAGGCATGCAATCCGCACTTAATTAGTTGGCAATTAGTATCCACAGGTACGGCATGTGCTGTGCACCCACCAAGTGCAAAGTACTCCTAAAGACTGACAGAATTCTAATACTGTACTCACTCTGGATGGTGAGCAGATTGAAGTAGTTGAGAAGTTCGTGTATCTAGGTAGCTATATAAGTGCTGGTGGTGGCGTGAGTGATGAGATTGATGCACGTACAAGGAAAGCCAGAGCGGCTTATGCCAATCTGGGCCATCTTTGGCGCCTTCGTGATGTTAGTGTGGCTGTAAAAGGTCGGATCTACAACGCGTCGGTGAGAGCAGTTTTGCTCTATGCTTGTGAAATCTGGCCTCTCCGAGTTGAGGATGTTAGACGTCTCTCTGTGTTCGATCATCGTTGTCTCCGAAGGATTGCTGACATCCAGTGGCAACACCATGTTAGTAATGCAGAGGTTCGGCATCGTGTGTTCGGGCGCAGAGACGATAATTCAATTGGTGTCACCATCTTGAAACACCGACTTCGGTGGCTTGGACATGTTTTACGAATGTCGTCCCAGAGACTTCCACGTCGTGCATTATTGGCCGACTCTGGAACTGGTTGAAAAAAGCGTAGAGGAGGTCAGTGTATGACATGGTGTCGTGGTATGAAAGAAAGCTGCAAAGGGCTAGCTTCTGTTGGTCCTTCACTACTCCCTGACTGGGATCCGAGAGATGGTGCAACACAGTGGCTAGAGATGTTATCAGATATGGCTCAGAATAGAAGCCAGTGGCGATCCTGCTGTAACCTTCTTTTACTTTCTACCTAAAGAGTGGTTATAACTTTCTTAACTAAAAGAGTTTTCTGTTTGTACATTTCAGTCCGCCTTATCTTTTCATCCCTTCTCTTCCTACTTTCATTATTTTGTGTGGCGCATATGTACCTGGTGCCCTTTTGTACCAATATATATGTGTTTAAATTAATAAATAATTAAATAAACCCAAGTAAAGTAGTTAATTACCTGTCGACTCATAATAGTCTTATACACTTTTCAATGGTATAAATTTATTCAGCCCTTGTAATCTGGTGTGTGACGAAATCTCAGCACGGATACAAAAGGCTCGTCTAGCTTCCGCCAACTTTCGTCATTTATGGCGTAGGCGAGATATCCGTCTAGCAACCAAAGGACGGGTTTACTGTGCAGCAGTTCGTTCCATCCTATTTTATGGCAGTGAAGCATGGCCGGTAAGAGTAGAGGATATTCGTAGGCTACTAGTATTCGATCATAGATGTCTTCGAAGCATTGCTCGTATATCCTGAGACCACCGGGTAAGTAATGCAGTTGATAAGAAACGGGTACTAGGTAATGATGGCAAACCGATTGGTGAAGTAGTGAAACTTCATCAGTTGAGATGGCTGGGACATGTGTTACGTATGCCTGACCATCGAATGCTCCGTCTTGCGATGTTTCATGGTGTAGGAGTAGGTTGGAAGAAAGCTAGGGGCGGCCAGACAAATACATGGCACAAATCTATGAAGTCACTGACAATTGGACTGAGCTATGCTAGTAGGTGTAGACAAACTGGTTGGGATCCGCGAGATAATAGCAATCGATGGTTAGAGACCTTGAATAACATGGCTCAAAATGGTTTGCAATGACAAAGGTGCATCCACTATTTGTGTCCTCCCAAATTCTAATCTTTCTTCTCTTTCCAAATTTATTTCACTGTATTATACTCCTTCAATAACATTTTCAAACCCTAATCTTTCCAACTACTGCTTAAACTGTTACTACCTCTACCATTATGGTATTTGAATGGACAACTTCATCTCTGTGCTAATGTGGTATGGCAACTCGAACTGATGTACGTACGTACGAAGTTCTACGTTGTGACTGACTGAATAGATTATCATTACAATTGTAAATGTATCATTTAACTTTTTTTAATTTTATTATTTAAACTTTAATATTGAAAGATCAAGGGATAGTTTCCAATATAAATCACCTTATTTGTTTTGTAGTAAAATTGAAGCCTTAACGTAAGTTATCACTAATAACAGATATCAACTTAATTAAGTATGTAATACGAAAAAACAACCTGTAAAATCCCATTTTCTTTTCATGGTGTTGATTTTTCAAAGGCTTAATGGACCTGTTTTTGTTGACACATTTACTTACGCCTGTTACTCCTAATGGAGCATAGGCCGCCCACCAGCTTTCTCCAACCCACTCTGTCCTGGGCCTTCTTTTCTAGTTCTATCCAGTTTTTGTTCATTCTTCTTATGTGTGTCGCTATTTTTCGGCGTAATGTGATTTCTTTGGTCTTCCTCTTCTCCTTTTGCCTTGAGGATTCCATATGAGGGCTTGTCTTGTGACGCAATTTGGTGATTTCCTCATAGACTTTATATATGTGCCAGGATTGTTGTGTTTGATGAGGAGGTCAGTGTATGACATGGTGTCGTGGTATGAAAGAAAGCTGCAAAGGGCTAGCTTCTGTTGGTCCTTCACGACTCCCTGACTGGGATCCGAGAGATGGTGCAACACAGTGGCTAGAGACGTTATCAGATATGGCTCAGAATAGAAGCCAGTGGCGATCCTGCTGTAACCTTCTTTTACTTTCTACCTAAAGAGTGGTTCTAACTTTCTTAACTGAGAGAGCTCTTCTGGTTGTACACTTCAATTCCTCCCATCATTACTCTTCTCCTTTTCTTTTTTTCCTTCTTGTATATATGCGCATCTTTTTCCTCATCCCATTCTCATTATTTTGTGTGGCGCATATGTATCCGCTGCCCTTTGTATCAATATATATGTGATTAAATAATCAAATAAAGAAATGGTGCACATGGGCTACAGTATCCTGAGGGAACAAATGGCGTACGAATCGATCATTGGTCACCGGCTACCATGGAACTGCATCTCCTCACGATGCTGCACTGCGTTGTGGGTTAGATCTTTAGGTCAAAGGCTCCGGTTATGGCCTCCTAAGAAAACCACCTTCTTCAGTTTGGGCACCTGGGTAGTATCACAACCCTCACACAAATCGAATGAGATTTGTGTGGCGCATATATATCTTGTGCTTCCTTCCATCAATATTTATGTGTTCAGGTAAATAAATATAAAAACGATCTGGCTGAAATTATATATCCATACGCGGAGTTACCTTTGTAATCTTGAATATAGCAATAACAGAGTCTTGAGGAGAATAACGTGAATTCACTTTTTTTCGTTGTATCTGTCAGTTGCTTACAACCTGTAATATTTAAAAATCATTAACAAATTAATTCTAATTTTTTTTTAAAAATGAGTGTAAATGGAACTTGTTTTGGATATACCTCAGAACCGTATAACAAGAATGCAGATAAATTTAGGTGGCTGATTAGAATAACACTAAACATCCAAGGACCTTGTTAGTAAAAACGAGCAAAGGGCTAGAAATAAGTGGCTGATGCTAATAATAAATACGAATAGAATGACTAAAGCTCAGTTACAGCCAAATTACCAATACAGGAGAGTCGAAAATAGCAACGTTATTACCAGTGCAGAGACAAAGTTAAACTCATTTGTCATATATCGGAGAAATGTTTGGATTACCAAGGAAAGGATTATCAACTACCTCTCTTTAAACACAGCAATCTAACGTCTGAAAGCAGTGGCTTCAGGAACTTCATGAGGTCAGGGATTCTCTCCGCCGATCAACTTGAACGGTTTCAAGACATTAATCGGATGTGATCTGTCAGAGAGTTACTAGAGATTAGGTCATTTGAAATATTTCTATCTCATCTAAGTTTATTAGCACATGTTTAGGATCCCGGGATATACTCTCCTTTTCGTTTTGTCAGTGCAGCCGTTTGACAGGGATGTGGATTTATAGACAGTTTGCGTTAACATGAAGTTGACACCTGTGGTCCTTCAATCGAAACATTGGACTTGGTGTTTTACACAGAATCTTGCTCTGAGGGCAAAGCTATGGAACTTCTGACATCATGGACAAACTCGCTGTACACGCTTTCTCAAGGTTTTAGATCAAGCCAAATGCTCTACAAGTCTACTTTATAACAACTATAAACTTAAAAAGTAGCATTAGCATAACCTAAATGCTAACACAATTTGCCGAGATCGGGTCTGGTGTGCAACCTGGACGCGATGCCACTTTGGAAAATAGTGTGTAGACTACACTGGACGAATGAACTGATATTCACTTTCATAGATTATATTTATTCGACAACCCTGCTCGGGATGCATACTGTGAACCAATAAATGTTGTAACTTGTCGATCATGCCTGTAAAAATGGCGTGTACATGCCCTTGCAAAAATATATTATTATTATTTAGTAATTTCAGTAATTGTTTGTTTAGTCTTCTTGCTTTCTAGATAATTTGCGAAAAATCTTCCTCAAGAGGACTTTATGGACATCTGATTATTACAACAATTTGACAGGATATCGTGCTGTTAAACTAAAATTAGATATTGTACTGGACACTACAAACAAATATATAGATATACAGGCAGTCGGTCCGAGGTATTTCCAAAAGATTCACATTTAAGGTATTCAAATTAACCACACAACTGAGGTCAAGTTAGTTACTAAAAATGAACTGGTACATTTGACAGTCATATCCTCAGTCAGATATTGCATTCCAAAGTGAGCATAAAATCATGTTCATTTCACATCTCTGTATTAAATACAATATAGTCCCTAACCTCAATATATTCGAAGCTAAGGACAGTCGAATTATCTCGTATTTAAACTATATTTTCCTCTGATACTACTAAATTTCTGCGAAAATGCCAAAAGTCCTAATCGAACAAAACAGGCATACCAACACATTTTATCAGGAGTAGAATATATATTTGAAACTAATTCACTAATTTTACTCACGAGCTGACAATAGTGTATAAATAATCAGAAATATGAATCATACATAATTTACATGAGGTGACTAAGAAGGCAGAAATTAAACGCTTGTTAGTAGGAAAGTAATATAAAGCTAAAGCAGTTGTGACGCGACAGACTTGTGTAATTTAGATGTTCACTGCAATTTATGATACCTTTCGTACATGATTCCGCGGCTGCCTTAATCTTCAGAAGCAATAGTTCTATTTGTGTTCTCCTTGATTTTGATGCTGGTATATGTAAGACTCCTGGTCATACCGAATTTCATTAATACAGATTACTACGTTCACCCTAGTGATAGATTCAAAAGCTTCTTCACGCATGTATGTTGTCTATAGTCCAAATGTTCGAACATTATAGCATATCTGTTTTACTAGTTTCTTTATATGGAAACTGCTCTACAACGGATTCATAAAGTCCGTTGTTGTCTATCGGTAACCATGAGCTCTTTAACTTCATGATCGGTTCTCGAGTTTATTATATAAAAATATTGTTATAATTGTGCTGCCTGCTCCTCTTTTTGCAAAACTTACTGAACATCAGTATTTCGGATAAGTGAATGCAGACAACTGGCAGAAAACATTGTAGCAGTATGTTCAACCAATATAATATCATATATTACCAGATGTTTTTGCTAAAGTCGTAGAATTTTCATCCCTCTTTGACTCCTGGTGCTTGAAACCTGTGGCATAATCCACATACCAGTAAACAACAAAAACAATCGTATGGTCTTCACGTTTATCAACTCTGTGATGATGTTATATCCTGACTAAGAACAAGTGAACGATAACAATGGGAATTAGTTATAGACCGATCTTATATATATTCATATTGTATAACTAATAAGTAAATATATTATATGAACATTCATATTCTTTTCATGATATGCATCCATTTGACCTATTGGTTTTTATTATATGATTCACTATTCTTAAGTTATTCAAAATTTATCAGTTAGTGTCTAACAATCATAGCTACTGTATGATTTGATTTCTTATGATTGTTATCTTCTATTTTACGGTATGATGTCGTCTGGTTTGCTTGTAAATAACCCAAATGTGTCCGAAATATATGGTTCATACAGTGAAAGTTGATATTGGTGCTCTGAAGTCAACAGGCAGTTTGAACAATAATATATTTTTCTGGTTGGTGTTTTTTAGCTAGTTAGTTTTCTACAAGATAGGGTCGCTAACCGCATGCCCAATCCTCCTCCTTCATCCGGGCTTGCGACTGGCAGTCGCCCCGGAGGAGCTACAGGCGGAGTAAATCAAGAGGCAGGGCTTGACGAGAATGACTGATAAAGAATTTAGGCTGCTCTTACAGGTTACCGCCTCATTGGTTTGGCACAGTGCTAAGGTTGTGTAAGTCGTGTTCTGACTCATGATTTAGTTTACGCGAGAATTGATAGGTCACAGATCATAATATGCGAGCAGTCGAAAATCGTGTAGCATTTAAGTTTATTTGACGTCTGCATAGATTATTCAAGCTTTCTCACCGATTAACTCGTTGTGAACAGTGAACCGAAGAGGTCATGAGGAATAACGGAAGCTATATACAAAGACATTATTTCATTTAATTCAAATTTGGTAAAATATCAACATTCAGATTTGTCTGCAGTTTATTCTGTAAACCATAAGCTTTCGTTTGATGCATGATTCACTAACATGCCCTTTTCCATTGCAAAGATATTGTAATTTAAATATAAACTCTCGTACTCAATTCACCTACTCTAATGCCCAGTGTGAATATAATTGTATTTCTGCGATTGTTTATGAGTTGTAGCCGTGTTAGTCATCTATTTATTCATGTATCTATTTACACTGATCTGAATCAGAAGTCAAGAATCGGGAATAAGTCGAGTGCTGTTCCAAATGACACATCTTCTCTCTCTCATGTCACATAATCAGGTGATATCATTGTTTTCATCTCTCTGCCTTAGGTCGTTTGTCTCAATCGGGCTCACGTATTGTAGTCTCGAGTTTAAACCAGTAGGCTTATAGTGTCAAGGCCTTACAATAGATCGAAACAATTTCTATCCTTGTTATTATTAGACAGATAGATCAAGAACATAGTATAAATACTCTAGCTTTTTTGAAATGTTATGTAAACATATTTTGGCCTAGTTGGAAACTTGCTTTCTTCGTTAAAGTTCTTCAGATAGCTTTAACGCTTGATCAGAATTATTGTGTAGTGCTCTAGTTAATTGGCATATCAGCCTTCCCTGTTTATCATTCCATTGTCGCTTCAGGTAAAACAAAGCTTGCATTAAGTTCCTTAGACTGAATTCACATTGGACGTTTATTGTCCCTATAGCTTTGATAAGGTAAGCTTATGTAAAGTATGAAATTTCAAAGCATAATTTGTGTTCATAGTTTATTCACCGTTCGTTCCTTCATGATTTCCTATGCAGTTAAAACGTTGCCACACTGAATGAACCTTGAGAAAGACTGAATTCTTCCATTTTATCAATAAAAAGAAACTAATAAGTAAAGTTTTTTTTACAAAAGCCAGAAAAATTGGCATCTTTAAGTTATTTATTTTGAATCGTAGACTATAAAATCTGATTTCGTTGTTTGAAAAATTGACAGCAGCAATTACGTAAGGCTTACTGTAGTAGCATTTACCTAATAATTGTAACTCAATGTATCACTTAAAAACGATTAATCACTGTATCTCTGTACACTGGAGCTTATAGGGTTCTCAATTTCAGGATTGAGGGGAAGGAACCAAAAATTCAGAATTATCATAGTTGGTTGCATATGAAGTACTAAACATTTGTGCAAAATTAACAAATAATGAAAAACTATTACTGAACGCGAATTTTTCCGTGATTTGAATTGAACAATGTGAAATGAATATTATTGGACAACTGAGGTTTGTTTTGTCTTATCTTTTGTAGCGTATAATTACAAAAGGTTGTTCTTGCGCAACAACTTATCGCGGGATCAGATTGTCTTTCAGGTATTTTTTTAACCTTTTATCCATAAAACGTACCCGTTTTACATGATATGAGATTTTTGATAATTTCGGGCAGAGATATTTTGACGTGATTGTCTATTGCGCTTTCTCACCATTCAGCAATTCTCTAGCGAAAAATATGTTCCATCGAATTATATGTTTCAGTAGAAATAGTAAATTAATCTGACACAAAGCTTTCCGTTCTATATGCTTTTGTATTGAATATGGAGTAATTTATCTCCGCCCCAAAACTTACTAACACCAGGAGTAAGATAGAATTTGTGCCTATAATTATTGTACTTTTTTATGTGCTGCAGATGTGTGCTGACTTGTTTGCCTTATTTGTCTGGTTTTAAGAACTTTATTTAAGCCAGGTCCTGTTTAAACCTCAAATACCTTTTATCTGTATTAGTTTTAATCTTTAACGTGACTTGGTCAGCTCTTAAGTATTGCATGTATATATGTCATAATTACTGGTAGCACAAATAGTACAATAATAAACGGATCGGGTTTAGGTTCTTGGATTTTTGAATGTATATAGCTTTAGAGTTTACATTCCGTAATCGGTACAGAGACAAAGTGAGATAATAATTTGTCAAATGCTTATTGTATGGATTTCTAAAAATGAAACTGCCAATGTATAATCCCAAATTAGTATTAATAATTCCTGCATGCATCCGGAGGTGAGACTTTATGTCACAATATGTCATATTTGTCGTCTTATTCAAGCAAAAACGTTGTTTTCTTATTGTCTGAAAATAGCAAATGTCACATTACGGTGCTAAAATAATTGAATATAAACATTTGTAGTATAATAGTTGTAACCTGCAATTTATCAACTAAAAAGACTCTTCAAATGGTTTTAACATTGATAAAATGGCCTATTTTTGAATTTATTTGTCAAATTAATGTGGGACAACATCTCGTAACACTAGTCTAGAAAAATTATGTTCCCTAAAGGGGAATGTTAGCGGTCAGCCCATCGAAAGTATAGGTTTGTCGACCGTTGTCTTTTAGTTAGCGATAGCCTGTAAGTGATGATTCCTTCCAAACTCTCAAACTTCTGCAAGTTAAAACTTTGAAATCTGGAATACATTATTCATCCACTCCCTACTTGGTTTGTCATATATGTTTTGTTGATGTAATTTTTCTAATGATTGCATTAGTGAAGCAACTGGAATCGATTATATGTTTGATGAAGATACCTGTATTATGATGTGCTTCTAAAATGATTGGATCAAGCAAGGCACTCTTAGTTTGTCGTATCTGATCGAAAGATCAAGGTATATTCACTAGGTTGTTTTAGTGAACATCAGTTTCTATATTCTAATTTTTAATCCAGGACATAATGGAAAAAGCCATTCAGGAAGTTCTCTGATAGCATAACCCTCATAAACTGGATATTACTTAAGAATATGTAACTTTTTAAGATCACAAAGCCTTTCTTATGGTGAAGATGGGGATACTTAAAGTGGGAGGATCTTTCTCGCTAAAAATAATTACAGAAAGGGACTTGTTATGTAAGGGACTTTTTATTTAACCGATCTTCAGTTATATTTGGTCAATAACATTGCGACAGATCCAAACACGAGTATATTTCTTTAATTAGTGACTCAGTTTAATACACAGTTTCATATGCAAGACCATGAATGGGTTTCCATTGTTCAATATTTTCCTACTCATTGGTTGTTGCCACCCACTTTTAGGTGCATAGAACACCATTATTAGTTGCATGGGGCTCTAAAGGATTCCATCCCCTTTTTTAGCCCACCAAACAATATATGAATAAATCATAATCAAAAAAAGCAAATTAAAATGCACCGAAAAAAGGAGTATACCAGTTTATTTGGAAAACGTGGCTATGTAAAACGTGAGTTTAGATTGTGGTAAATTTGGTCAAACCGCTAACCCTTAAGCAAAAATTGCTGTTCAGTTATGCCTTCTGATAATTTATGGCAGTTGGACATTTGTCTACCGATAAAATAAGTTTCATCCTAAAATCAAACTGCCACTGAAAAATTTACTTAAGACACTAGCAAGCATGCTTTTTGTGACGCAGTTGGCAACTAAAATAAAAGTTTTCTCAATAACAATAGCATAGGTAGAAAATCTGAGGTACAACCACTAGAAAGATACCATATGTCTTAAATCTTTAAAAGTGTCGTGTAAACATAGTTTATAAAACAAATAGGTATCGTTTACAAACTAATTTGATCTTTTAAGTGTAAGATTGACCAGTGAATCCCTGATTTGAGTCCTTATGTATCGTTTAAGTCTTTGGTCTAATCCATGATGAGAAAAAAGGATCAGTACGTGGTCAGTGTTTTTATGCCTGAATTGAAAGCCATTATTGGCTATTATTGCAACAAATTTTTTTAACATTAATCAGCACAAGTGCCTTTCGTTTTATTAGAAATTGTCATAATACTCCATTTTAAGTGGTATCTTTAAGATATGTTTTCATTGATGAATGTAACTTGTGGGCTACTTTTTAGTGAGTGACTAAGATGTGTTCAAACCAAGAATTTCTTTTAGAATATCTTCATTTTTTTGGTGAATTAAGTAAAATTTCATTGAGACATATTTTGGAATTTTCGCATTTGCATAGTCTTTCAATCAATTTTACAGTATATTGGTCGTCATGCACTCAATAATCTCTCCATGTTTTTTTCGGTAAACATTGTTTCTTTGATTCACTTCCAACTATCTTCCAATGTAGTTTCTTCTACTCTGAGTGGACATTGTAAGGCTTGGAACCTGTTGTTCAGAGTTATATTAAATTCGTTGGGTTTGACAATATGTCGAAGTAAAGCTGTATTAAACCTTAGTAATGTTGTTTGTCCAGTCGTCCAGTGTTCCTTTAACTTCAGTTTCATCTTCGCCCAAACCACCAGGTGGTGGTCTGAAGCTATGTCAGCATCTTTCCTAATTCTCACGTCTTCCATTGTCCTTCTGAATTTTTTGCTGATGCAAATATGATCGATTTGATTCTCTGTAATGTAATCCGATAAGACACATGTAACTTCGTGTGTGTGTTTGTTTATGCGACCTATGGCCACTTTGTTGAATGCACATAGATTTGCAAATCTGCCACCATTCTCGTTGCATTCTCCCATTCAGTCCATGTTGTCCCATTATATCTTCATAACCAGTGTTGTCCATTCCAATTTCGGCGTTAAGATCTCCATCCTGATAGTCAGGTTCTTTACTGGGCATTTTGCTGTGATTGATTGCAGCCTCGAGTAGAGCTCATCTTTATCGTCATTATTGCTATCATTGGTGTGTGCATAACATTGGATAACATTCATTGTAATTACCTCTTTGTTCATTTTGAAGGATGATTTGATGATTCTGGATCGATGAGATTCTTATGTAACAAGTGCATTACATGCTTCTTTGGATAACATCAGAGTGACTGCCTGAGTGTGTGGAGCACTTTTTTCTTCGTTACCAGAGTACAACGACACCTCTCACGAATCTATGTTTTACTGTCCAGTTTGGGTCCAATGAGTTTCACTTTGAGCACCATCTATTTGTATTTCCTCATTTCTGTTGCTATTAGACTGGTCCTCTCAGTTTCCCACATTGTACGGATATTCCATGTACCTATAAAAATTGTTGTTCTGGTTTTAGAAGAAGCATTGGTCTTGTGGCTTTCGAATAATCTCGGCTTTCACCATGGTGTGTCATAAATCTTGTGAATGAAGATCCTTCAAGTGTCAGAGAAGAGTTTAAATGGTTCACTTTGTTTATTCTGGTTAGCGTTTTTTAACAAGGTTGTTTTCTACAGGATGGGATTGTTGACTCCGTGCTTAACCTTCTTCCTTTACCCGGGCTTAGGACCAGTAGTACGTCTAGAATAGCTAAAGAGTGAGCTATGTACCTTGTGGTTTACATGTGAACTGGTAAATGCATTTGGAGGTACTGAGAAAAGAAAACCTGACAGCTTTTGTTTATTTGAGTGGACGATACTTTTCAAATAACTTCATCAGATGCATATTTTCTTATCTATCTTTTCGTATTTAATCCGTGGATTCGTTTTGACATACTTCTCTATAAGTTTAGCTTGATCTACATTTTGATGCACGCGATTTGTAATGAACGCAAGTTCTTCTTCCAGGCTTTCCTTCGAGTGCAGTTTACGAGCACTGTTATTTCGCTTTTTAGCGTAGTTTACTTCCAAGACAACTAAATGTAATTGATAATTCGACATAATAGAATGAATATCACGAAACAAGTCTGTTTCGTGTGGCGACTTGACATTGGTAAACTGTGGATATAGTTTATTTAACCTCTAAATCATCATTATTTTTATTAACTTCAGATCTAATCTATACGTACGCAAAAGATATGTTTAACAATATTGTTAAGATCACTGATTTAAGTGTAATTCAAGGGAAGGATAAATGTTAATGAACAAAGATGTTTCAGTTTACATGTTATCTATAAATATAGTCCTAAAATTATTGAAGATATATAAAGTTTTTTATAGTACTGTTTTATTTTTTATCCAGCCATTATGATGGAGGAAGTTCATGAACTTGACAAAATAAACAATGGACGTGATGATATACCGGTTGTACAGCTGAAGAAAACTATTGGACTTGCAAGTAGTATAACGATCATAGTTGGTTCTATGATTGGGTCTGGAATATTCGTTAGCCCAACTGGAATTATGGAAAATGTTAATAGTATTGGAGCAAGTCTAATTATATGGGTTGCTTGTGGACTTTTCAGTATGTTAGGAGCGTACTGTTATGCTGAATTAGGAACCATGATTCATCGATCTGGAGGAGATTACATATACGTTTACGAAGCTTTTGGTCCATTTTTTGGTTTCCTTCGACTATGGTCAGAAGTGGTTGTTGCTAGACCTGCATCTGTTGCAATAATGTCCATGACATTTGCAAAATATATTGCACAACCAATTTTTCCTGATTGTGATCAACCTGAAGTTGCAGTACGTCTTTTGGCGGCAGTGTGTATTAGTAAGTTACTTCCTTAGTTTACTTGGCTTCACACACAACACTCTATTTGTATAAATATATGTTTATTTTCTGTAGCCTGTCACCTGTGTAATATAATATAGATGTTGAGGAGTCAACTATACAGGTATTGAGCAAAAAATATTATAGACTGAATTATAATTAGATGACAATAAGTAGTCCATATTAGATGTTAAACAAGTTAAAATTACAACTATAATTCAGCTAAACTTTTTCTCATATAAGCAACAAAATGCCTAGTTACTGATAATAAATTATCCAGTGTTTTTAATTGTTAAGCTTTCATTCTATATGCTAGTTAATTCCCATTCGGTAAGTGCTAATTATTCATCTATTAGAGTCTTAGTGAACCAATAAAATCTATCTGTCGAGATTGTTTATGAATACAGTGACCTTGAGTGCTGTTAGAGGTATGAGGGCGGTTGTCACTTCCCGGCTGCCTACACTGTGGAAGTAAATCTATCTATTTTCTGAAAATGATGAACTTTATTTCTTCTCTTAGAAATTATTCATTATCCTCTTCATTGTTTATAACCAGTTAGGTTTAGTTATTCACTGTAATTTAAGGGTATTTTTCAACATTGTCAAATTAGTAAGAATGTTTGAAGAGGAAGTGAAAAGAAGTGGGTTGAATTTTCAAATTCCCGCTGGCATACAAATATCTATTTGTATGGAAATGGAACAAGGAAGAAACAGTAAGGGACAGATCAAAATCATGATATAATCAACTACAAGAAATATAAGCAAATTATTAATAAAAGTGTAGACTAGATGGTAATATTCGGTGACTACGAAGAGTAATTATAGTTATAATGAAAATAGTAAACATTACTGAAAATTCTAAGAAAACAACTGAACAATTACGTAATAGGTACTTAAACGTTTGATTGATTAATGATTAAAATAATAAGATTAAGTATAATATTAAATAGGTCAGTAGATCAATGCACTTACTTACTTTCGCCTGTTACCCCTCATCGAGGAGCATAGGCCGCTCACCAGCATTCTCCATCCAACTCTGTCCTGAGCAATCCTTTCCAGTTCTTTCCAATTAACATTCATCCTTATCATATCTGCTTCTATTTCCCAACTTCATGTGTTCTTTGGCCTTCCTCTTTTCCACTTCCCTTCCGGATTCCAAGTTAGGGATTGTCATGTGATGCACATTGGTGATTTCCTTAATGTATGTCCTACCCACTTCCAACGTGTTTTCCTAATTTCCTCTTCAGCTGGAAGCTGATTTGTCCTCTCCTATAAAACGCTGTTGCTGATAGTATCCGGCCAATGGATGTTGAGTATTTTGCGTAGACAATTCTTTATAAATACTTGTACCTTCTTGACGATGGATGTAGTAGTTCTCCACGTTTCAGTTCCGTACAGTAGGACTGTCTTCACGTTCGTATTGAAGATTCTCACCTTGAAGTTAGTTGACAGTTGTTTGGAGTTCCATATGTTCTTCAATCGTATGATCAATGGAGGCTGACTAATTTATGTTTTTTAAACTAACAGTTACTTTACATTAAATAAGAATAACATATATTTGTATAATCTCAGCGAATGAATTTGAAGTAAATCCAACGTTTCGTCTGGCAATCTGGTCCAAGCTTTTTCAAGGAAATATATTCAAACATCAAAAATCTTACATAAACTCGGCGCCTAAATACTGTGAAACTATTCGCTCTAATTTAGACGAAACTTCTTATGTGGAATCACTTTAGTTTTCAGAATTGATACAAGTCATTAAATATGTTCTTTTATTTTAGCAACCAAAAGTGTTTAATACACTGAACTGATTTTATACAAAAACATGTTTATTTTTAATTATTATCAGAAGGGGTTATGTGGAGATTTCGGTATTTTCATAGTTGAAAGCATGAGTCGATTGAAGGTAGACCACCAAGGAAAACCTGAATGCACTGGACAGCCAACTTGTCCTATTGTGGGACTCCTCAGTAGCAGTGCGAATCCACGATCTCGCCTATCGGTTAAGTGCTCTGGTGTGAAACCGGCAGGTCCTGGGTTCGAATCTCACGAGGCGAGATAGTGAATGCGTACTGCCACAGAGGAGTCCCACAATAAGACGAGTTGGCCGTCCAGTGCTTCCAGGTTTTCCTTGGTGGTCTACCTTCAATCGACTCATGCTTTTTTTATTGTTTAAATTAGTCATTTACATTGAATTTGAATGTCACAGAAATGCTATACATGGATCATGTATTCTTCTTCTGAATTATCATCTTTCTATATATTTTATTTCAGTTTTATTAAGTTTTATCAATGCCTTCTCTGTACGAATGTCAACATTTGTTCAAGATATATTTACTTATGCAAAAGTAGCCGCTTTAATCATGATCATTATAACTGGATTTGTACAAATTGGTTTTGGTAAGTCTTCTAAAAGTTTTTTTTTCCCCATATATAACATTCATAGAATTAAATAACTTTTAAGCAATTTAGCTTTGATCGTTTACACATTATTCTTAAATTTCATAGTTCATGTTAGCTAAGACAATCTGTTTTTCGCACTATTACGGTCTTGCCTTTCCTTGCGAGCTACTTCTCATACATAAATTTAATTCATAGAATCATCAAAAGTACATGAATAATATTCTGTGGGACTAAAAGAAGTCGGTGAGGATCATGTTGTCCACAAACCCAAGCTTTTTAAACCTACGACTAGTTATTAAAAGGAAGTAACAATGGTTTTTTTTCCATTTTGTGATTAACCTTTGACGATAAATGGCCAGTCAGTGTATAAAAATCCTTGATCTAGAGTTTCTTGTTTATTACTTCTATCCACTCAATACGTTTCTAATTCATTTGATCAATCTTAATCACTTCTTATTTCTTCTCTATGGCCACTGTATCTCAAATTTACTGTGATATATAATATACAGTAAATTGTAAATTCACAAAACACATGTCCTGGATTCCATTGCTAGCCATTATCCATCTTTGCTTATCATTCAGTAAATTGTTTTATATTGTGGAAAGACGTTTGTTGAAGTCGATTAGATAATGTGCATATATTTTCCCCACTTGATTTTTTTTCCAGAGTAAAAAATGTTTTGAATAAAGTGAGTTACGTCGTTTATTTTTATTTAAAGAAGCAAAGCCAATTTAGTTATTACTGAAGTGAATAAAATGTCTAAGCGAACTATTAAAAAAATTGGTTTATGTTATGTTCAACTAAGTGATTGGATGAGCATTCATTTATCAAGCATTATTGTGATTCATAAACTGATTCTTTATCAGGAGTGATTATTCCTTTGAATCTGTTATAAGCATCTTGTCAACATAGACAAGAATCTAATTCAATTCGAAATGATGTCCTGGGCCATCCTTTCTAGTTCTATCTGCCTGTAGCTCCTCCGGGATTTACTGCCGGTCCCAAACCCGGGTAAAGGAGAACGGTTAGGTATGGGATTAGCGATCCCATTCCATAATAATAAGTATATTTTTGATTTAAGACAAAAAATATGCTTATTCAACTACATCTAAACATCTTCATTTTATTTTCATTTCCACAATGATACTACTTGTCTGTTCTCTATAGTTTTATTTAAGTGGTTCACTTTATATTTCAAATAGATTTCATTTCCAGAGATGAAAATTATACCCTACTTATTAAATGATTGAACAGTTTTTTTTTCTTATGCTTTTAACTGTTTAAAATTTTTTATCTGAATTTTCATGTTTCTCTACTGAAGAATGATGAATAAGTAGTTGAACATATGGTGGTTACAATCATAAAATTCTTTTATTTGTTTCGAGACTAATTTCTCGTATCATTGGTCTGTAATCGTTCTATAATTCAATTGCTAACTCATTACGACTTCAACAAAAGTATCGAATAAGACTGTTCCTACTAATTGACTTAGTAGGAGTTTATTAATGATTGTGTACTTACTGATAGATATCCTAAAACATATTGGAAATCTTTACGCCGGAACAAAATTTATCCTAATTCTCGAATCCTTAAACGACAGGCAATCAACCAGGCAGATTCATTAAAAATATACATAAATAATCTGGAAAGAAATCTTTCACAAAGAGGATCTACGTAGATAACCTACCACCACAAATAAATTCACAATTTATGGATTATACTAACATGGTAGCGAAAAGTAGATCAGAGAAATTAGAGAAAAAACTAATTCAGTCACTGGAACATGATAAACCTGAAAGAAAATTTCCTATGGACCCTGAGCGATACATTCATAACTTTTCTAGTGTTACATTAGACAGATTACAATTAGAGGCTTTGTCGCTCGGCCCTAGATTTTGTGACTATAGGAATAAAATAAATCAACTTGATACAGATGTGCAGTTTGAAAACTTATTTACACAAACAACAGATTTGGTCCCTACCTTTCCCAATGAACTTACTAGGTTTAAGACCACATTAGTGGACATCTGCCAACAATTCAAGAATAGTAAATATACTGTAAAAAAATCCACTTAACAAACAGCATCGAGACGCTTTATATATACTTAAGAAAGATAACACTCCAATCATGAGCAAGCCTGACAAAGGAGGAGGTCTAGTTCTAATGGATAAAGCCGATTACATCGATAAAATGAACTCAATTTTGAATGACATGACTAAATTTCAGAAACTCAACGACGTAAAAGATATAAATATGAAAACAGAGAAAATGTTGACTAATTCACTCAAGGAATTAAAAAATAAAGAAATAATCACTCCGAGTATACACGATTCACTTAAACCCACCGGATCGAACACGCCACGACTATATGATTTACCCAAAGTTCACAAGACAGGTCTTCCGCTTCGTCCAGTTTTAGACATGTATAATTCACCCTACCACAAAACTGCAAAGTGGCTAGTTCAAATCCTGGAACCCTTGCACAAACTAGTCGTCAACAAAAGCGTGAAAGACGTTTTTGATTTCATTTCGATGGTTGAACATATGAACTTAAGTGGTAAACGGATGATATCTCTAGATGTTGCTTCCCTGTTCACCAACGTTCCACTAACTGAGACTATTGATTTTGTGTGCCAACAATTACATGAAAAACAAATCAATATCGGAATTACTGAGGTCAATCTTAAAGAATTACTTTTGAAATGTACAATGAATGTTCATTTTGTCTTTAATAATACATATTATAGACAAATTGATGGTATAGCGACGGGTTCACCTCTAGGTCCTATCCTAACGGACTTTTTTCTTGTGAAACTAGAGAATGGACCTCTCAAAGATGTTATCAATAAGCTTGACTTCTATTGTCGGTACGTTGATGACACTTTTATTATCGTGGATCCGGACATTGGCAAAGTCGAACTACTCGAACTGTTTAACAACAAACACCAAGCTATTAAATTCACATGTGAAGAGGAAATAGATAATAAATTAAATTTCCTTGACGTTTTGTTAATCAAAAAAGCGAACGGTTCTATCAGCAGAAGTGTGTTTAGGAAAAGTTCTTCATCTAGACAGTACACACACTTATTAGGCTTTGTACCTCCCTACTATAAAAGAAACGTAGTCAAATGTCTGGCAAATAGAGCTAGGAAGATTTGCTTAGTCGATTCAATCAACAATGAGTTAGAGGTCATCCATAATATGTTGATTGAAAGGGGTTATCCACGAGGATTCCTGAAGAAACACTTACATTTAACAAATAAGAAAACAAAGATATCAACAGCTGCGAAGAAACCGCTCTTCCTGAAACTACAATTCAACGGCGATTTAGCTGATGATGTACTACGGGATAGATTGGCTAAAGCAGTTAAGAGAACGTTTAATGCAGCCGACCTCTTTCTTTCTTACTCGACACGATCTATGGTGATTCCCCAACTAAAGGATAAGTTGCCTGGTTATGCCATTTCTATGTGTATCTATAAACTCAGCTGCTCCTGTGGAGAAAGCTATATTGGGCGCACTACCAGACAACTGAACCAAAGAGTTAGTGAACACCTCCCTTCGTGGTTAGGAAAAGGTATGGTCAAGTCTATACGGAGCTCGATTCTTTCATACTTGATTGGTAACGGTCATGAAGTTGACAGAAACCAGTCTTTTAAAGTTATTTATCGTATTCTTACTACTTTTCCTTATGGGGTTCGATCTCGTCTCTTATACATAGCAGAAATTATAGGAATTCGATCCAACAGCCCAAGTCTTTGTGTTCATAAGAAATTTGTAACACCCTTATCCCTCCCTTGGCCTTAATAAATAATCTTATTTTCCATACTCTTTCTTTGTTTATTTTTCTTCACCCCCCTATCAATTATTTACTTATAATTTTTCTAATATTCGCTTCACCGTCCAATTATCTAAACACTTCTTATTACGTAATCTTATAATTTCTATGATTGTTATTTCAGTGTCTATATTCTTTTTTCTAATCATTGACCTATTTTCCTATTATGTAACATTGATTCAAGCCTTTTATTATTCTTATCACAACTAGTACACTTGTCACATTACACTATCAACTTGTACTTTTCACTTATTATTAATTTTAATTATGTAATCTATTCCACTGTTATCATTGACTCATTAACTGCCTTGATTGGTTTAATAATTTCGTATATGCATATAAATATTACTGTATATTAGAGTAAAGCCTGATGAGGATCTAATCGAAAACAATATATTGTTCGCTTATATATATATATCATTCTAATTCACAATATGGGAATTTTAAAAACTTTGACTTAGTATTGTTTGTTTGAATCTTCCCATTGATGTTTTTAGGACTGCAACTGGTCAGTCTCTAATTGGCATATGTGCATGCTGTGAATACTGCCTTGATATAGCCTAAATTTACAAGCATTGAGCAGTGGCAGTCCTAAACATCAATGGGAAGATTCAAACAAACAATACTAGGTCAATTTAAAACTTTACCCCATTGCATAAGCAAGTGGCTATCAGGACTCAGTAGCTGAGTGGATAACGAGATGGCGTTTGAAGCGAAAGGTACTGGGTTTGAGTCCCAGAGTGAATATCAACTCTGTGATGCAGGTACATCCAACTGACGAGTACCAAATAGGACGAAAAGTGCGTCCTAGATTCCACTGCTAGCTACTATCCATCTTTCTTCCTACTAATGTTTGAAATGTCCGGTGTGATTTTTATCTGCCAGTTAACACACAAACTCATTCACAACACTTGTGCTTAATTTCGAAACTTAGAAAATGTTTATAGCTTTGGTTTGTTTGGTTTTAAAGAGCTTTGTCTCCATCATATTCATTTGAACATTGATAATCACTACAAAACAAACTGAAAACAAATCATGCATACATGAGAATAAAAATTGGAATTATGGAGTGTGTCAGTCACTTCACTCATTCAGTTAGTTTATTAGTTCAAATAATACGTTGGGAATTAAAGACAAACCAAAATATTCAAGCTAAG